GCTATCTGCTGAACTTCACAGCTGTTGATGAGAACGTTACTTTATAACTTTTTCATCCCCGTCGGGTTTACATCGTACGTCGAAGCAGCAGAAACATTCAGAACTTCCTGCTGAATTTGACCCTCAGATGCACCAGAAAGCCACGTTTCCAGCTGCTGGTGAGGTTTATTCAGGTAAACAACCAAAAACTTCAAGTGCAGTTTTGTGGATTCACATCTGAACTACAGACTGGTTACTTCTGGAGAACAGCTGCAGGCATCCGGTGAAGGACGAGGCTTCACTTGTCTAAGAGCTTCAGTACGTCCCACTCTGTAGGAAGTCTTCTGTGTGGTTCTATAAAAAATAGATAGTTTATTTATTTATTGAAAGATCTTTATAAGGAGGACTTTATAAAAAAAAAGGCTGCACAGTGACGCAGTGGTTAGAGCTGTTGCCTTGCAGCGAGAAGGTCCTGGGTTCGAGCCCCCACCCCCCGACCCTGCGTGAACAAAGCGGGTTCAGAAAATGGATGGGTGGACTTTTTTAGGAACATCTTCACAAAACCTTTACTATCTTGAACATTTGCATAAACAGGCAACGTTTGTTGATGGTTTTGATGGCGACTTCTACATGAATTGTTCACTAGTTCATCGTGTAAGTTCTGACCCCACACGGGACGGGTCACACTTCCTCCAGATTAACACACTCACATGAAGGCAGAGCCATGAGGTTGATGCATCCAGTGACAGCTTTGCTTTCAGGTTCTGTTTTTTTTTTTTTTTTTGTAAACTAGACAGTTAAGCAGAAACCAGCCGGGCCACGCCGATGTTATATAAAAGTATTTTTATATCAGAAAGGTCAGGAAAAGCCTCAGAGCAGCTGACAGACAAGCAGCTCCGTGTCTTTCTGCCTGGAAGGATGACAGTTTTCCATACAGCCGTCTGACATGGCAGTGCAGGATGTGCTAGGTGTCACAGTACACACACACACACACACACACACACACACACCAGCAGCTGCTGGTTCATGGATGAGAAGAAGAGCTTAAGTCAGCACAGTTTTATTTTTATCTTGTTTTGGCTGAAAAGTGTCGTGACTGGTTTTTATTTTTCTAGTTTCAGTTAAACTTTTGGGCCAGCCGGTTGTTTCGTGATGAAATTTCCACAAAAATTGCCAACCGGAGGCCACGGCTGACCGTTTCACATCACAGATGTAACATTCGGACTAACGGGAGAGGAACATGCAGGAACCCAAACTTGTGGGATTTTGTTCTGTGGCTCAAAGCTCTGAAGAATCAGAGTCAAAGCTGAAAAAAATGTGTGTTTTATTCGTGTGCAGAAGAGGACGTTATTCACAGGCTCTGCTGAAATCCCCTTTCAGCTTTTTCATATTTTAACTGCTGTTTTAAGAGAATATTTGCAGAAGAATCGAAATGCTTTTTGCAGTCTTTGGTTCAATTCCAGGTCAAAGACTTAATGACCTTTTATCGTCTCCAGATCAGAGCAGAAATCCCGGACGTGTTATTGCTCCAGGCGAAAGGTTATCCACCTCCTTTATTAGCCTGCTACTCTGTCTTTGAGCCTCATCTCTTCTGTCTCCTGGACAGGCAGCGGTCTGGAGGCTCGTGGTGCAAATCAGTTTCAGCTTGGATGTGCAAGTCAGGATTAAAAAAATCAAACAGCATCATTTCAGCCCATGCATGCATGAGGATCAGCTGGCTACACTGTTTGTTTTGTCTTTGTTCCTGTTGGTTGATGTTTCTGCTCGTGTGCATCAGGATCAAGGTGAATGACCAGATTGTGGAGGTGGACGGGACCAGTCTGGTGGGCGTCACTCAGAGCTTTGCTGCCTCTGTCCTCAGGAACACGTCCGGAGTGGTTCGGTAAGAAATTAACACATCTGTCAGAGATTAAAAGTAAAGGTGTGCTGGATCCGGATCCAACTGAAGGCCCGTTACAACTAGGAATGCTTTCATGCTGGAGTTTCAGTCTTAAGATTGAGACATTGAGACCTGGTGGGGTTACAGTGATGATAATCCACATCTCACTTCAGCCTCGGTGACGATGGACTGGAGCAACTGGGATCTCTGGAATTATTACAGGTGGCTCCTACTAAAGGACAACTCTTTTTGGTCTAACAGCTGCTCTTGGGTGATTGGTGGAAATGTTAGTTCAATTAAGTGTTGCTCAACTGTGGTGGCCATCTTGAATTGGATTGATTCTAGTAGATAATCAGCTGTAAACACATGCAGCAGCTTCATACATGAGCAGAAGGTTAAAGCCTAGGGAGCCTAAGTCACGCCCCTCTACTTCCGGGACAATGGGTCCCCGGAAGAACGAAAAAATGAATGCAAGTCGACGGGGCTAAGAACGCTATTTTATAATTCCACTTGTTATGTGCCATGGATTTCACGCATCATGTCCGTGAATTTTAAAGACACATTTTGAGACCAAGAAAGCGCTTATTTTCAAACGGGGGAAACACTATTAAAGGTTCAAATCCTTCCCTCAGGAGGAAAGAACCATAAATCTGGCCATGCGGGAAGTAGCAGCTATGCTAGGGGAGAGGAGATTCTGATGATGTACAAGTTTGGTGTTCATTTTTTCACAGTTAGCCCCTTTTTATCTACTGTGATGAGCCATACAGTTTTATTGATAATTTCTTTGTAATTAGTTGCTATAGAAGCCAGATAAACTGGGTTATGGATGCATGTACTGTCTTCACATAAAAATATAAAGTAATGATTGTAAAATGTATTCTACTGAACATAATAGATCATCATTCAAAGCATAAACAGCTACATGTTTTCTTTGAGGTAAGCTGGAGCAGAATTCTAGCTTTCAATAACACTTTAAAATGGATATTACAACTCGAGTTTAGGGCTTCTTGTAGGACTTAAAGTTATTAAATATGCTTATATTAGAGCCGTGTGTTGCATTACTACATCAGATTTATTGCTATAATATATTATAGTAATGTTTGTGGTCTAAATGTGTTCTACAGTGTGTTAGGACTGTCGTGTTCCTGTAATGTAGAACGGTCACGGGTGTTTGTCTTCCTACAAATGCTTGGAAAAATATAAATAGGCTACTTTGTGAAGGAGTTAGAACATAATATATAATATAATATATAATATTATTCAATAATTACCACAAATCTTCAGGGGAAATGTGATTATATTACATTTTTGTGATTTGTCCTACCATACGCCGTTCAAACTGACTTACGGCGCTGTGGGATGTTTGGAACTGAGAGCTCCATGAACCACGTGACCGCGAGTCGGTGAGTTCAAAGAGTGTCGTAACTCTCTCTTTCTACAGCTCTGACAGAACCCTGCCCTCCTCTCCCAATGACTGGACAGGAATTCGAGAAACGTGATTGGTAGCTAAGACTCGTGCTCTCATTAGTTCCACCCAAGTTCCTCCCACTGACGCTAGAATCGAGACAAAAAAGATCTGTAACACTGTAGATTTGAGGTTTGTACCTGTAGAATGAAATGTGTGTTTTGAGAGTTTTGATTTCAAACTTGTACCTTGATTTTTTCAATTTGGAAGTCTGCTAGTTACAAAACGAAAGTTTCATGTTTCTGAATGAATGTTTGATGTTACAAAATGAGTAGTAAATGTACAAAATAAAAGTTTGATTTTACAAAATAAAAAATACTTGTACAAAATGAAAATTTCCTGTTACAAAACAAGAAATACAAGTACGAATTGAGAATTACAGGTTAGAAAACTAAAGTTACGAGTTACGAATCCAAAGTTACGTGTGATGAAACATGTTCAAAGTTACAAAACTTGGTACAAGTTACGCTGAATATTGCCCCAATCCTAGCTCCATAGTAACACCCATCAATATTCATTTAAATTGCAGTACAACATATGTGTGATCCAGGGCGTAAGGCAAAGCAGATTAGAAAATAGCGTTTTTTGCCCAGTTGACTTGCATTCATTTTTTGTTTTTTCCGGGGACGCATGAGCTGACCGGAAAAGGAGGAGACTTAGACTCCCTATGAATGCGTTTGTGCAGAATTCCAGTAAACACAAACGGGAAAGGGTTCAAATCCACCGAGATCTGAGATGGTTTAGGCCTGCTATCACGATGCAACATGGAGCTATACTTGGTGTGTGTGTGTGTGTGTGTGTGTGTGTGTCTGTGATTTAATGTATATAAGTGTGTGTGTCTGATTGAGTGTATCGTCACTTTTGTGAATTTAATCATCAGATTCAAGTTATTCATAACCTTTACACTTCAGGGTAGCCAGAAAACTCCCGTAACGGGATTTATTGTTGCTCTCAGTGGCGCTCTGGTTGGGTTTGGGTGCAAGAGGGTGGCGTGGACGTCACAGACTCATCAGCTGGAACAGCAGATGCTGTTTGCTGAGCTAATATTGACACAGGAGGGTCTCCACACACCAGGATATGGTTGAACCAGTGAGGCAGTTTCCATCTGACACCTGAAACACAACACACACACACACACACACACACATACACGTATGTGCACACGCACACACACAGAAACAATTGGAGTTTCTCCCATTAGACAGTAAATTGTTATCAAACCACAATGACTCCTCGTTACTTCACCGGACGCTCCCTATGTGCATGTATTCTGAACCCAGCCTAAAGAAATCCACCTTTCTTTTCATGGTTTGCAGCGTCTAGTTTGTCAGTAAAATAGCCCTGAGTTCCCAGAATGCAATGCTCTGAGGGTCTGCATGGTGTCTTCATGGTTGCTGCCCTTTTTCCAGCTAGTAATGAAACATGTATGAATCTATTAGCGTGTGATGTATTAAGTACGACTGCAGCTAGCCATGTTGGATTTGAAGTAGAGGAGGTTAAAAGGTTTAGCCATGATGAATGTTGTCAGCTCGCTGGTTCAGACGTGAAAACTAAAGGAAGTTTCACCTCGACGTGTTTCTTCAGATGCCTCATGAGTAGGACTGGACAATAATTCAATAAGGATATATATTGATCGATAGACATGTGGTTCAATAGGAAAAAAATGGATCATAAAATCTTTCGTTTCTCCATCATTGCCTATCGAGTAGCTTCATACTAGTCATTACTTCCACCCAACCAATTACAAACACAAACCCAAGCCCTCCCCTCTCACACCTTAGCAGACAGCAACGCGACTTAAACAAGACTTTGCAGCAGAGGTATAAGAAATTGTCCCAAAAGGGTACGGTAGTCCACCAGTGTGGCAGTATTTTTTATTCTTACAAATCTGACAAGAAACAAACAACGGTGGTTTGTAGAATTGATAAAAACCAAGTCTGGTAAAGCAACCAACTTGTCTTATCGTAAAGTCATGAAATTAAATTGCCAGGGCTGCACTTCAAAGGTATTTTCTACATTTTTCATAGGATTTTCGATAATTATTGATATCGATTGATAAGAATTTTTTTTATCGATAAGATTTTTTTAATGTCGTCCAGCCCTTCTCATGAGAACCAGTAATTAAAGGGTTTTGGCGAAAGTGACCGGAGGGATTTACAGGATTTTACCTTGCTGCACAAAACCTGTAAATATGTTAGATGACTCATTCACGTTTGTCTGAATCTTTCTGAAACACAAAGTTTCATCCTGTCGTCCTCACACACTCCTCTGTAGTTTACGTCTGTATTCGTTGGAGGCGAGACAATAAATCTCAGCCGACGGTTCCTCCGGTTCCACTGATCCGAATCTGTGTGTGGCTGTCTGAGATCAGCGGGAGGCAGAGAGAAACCCAGTGCACGTGTAGGGAGGCTGTTTCCAGGTCAGCTGCTCTTCAGGCGTCCCTGCTGTCCATGGGCTTGTTCTGGGAAAGACCTCCTGGATCCTGTGTCCTCTCTAAAACTCTGTAGCCCCACACTTCCTGTCCTCCACTCGTTCCTTCTCATGTAGATCAAATGTCTCTGCTGGAGCGTGAGACTTCTCCTGCTTGGCCTTTAGAGATAGAAGAAGGAGCTCCGAGAACCAAATTCACTTGATTAGCTCTGGCCTACTCTTTCTCTCTCTCTCTCTCTCTCTCTCTCTCTCTCTCTCTCTCTCTCTCTCTCTGTCCTCCTGTGACACACTGGGACGACCCGCTGGTTCCAAGCTTTCATACACTCCTTTTTTACATTGGAGTTATGAGATGAAGCTGAATCCTGACCAGTGATGTTATTCGCACACGTGTGTGTGTGTGTGTGTGTGTGTGTGTGTGTGTGTGTGTGTGTTGGGCACAAGCATTATAATGCATGCCCTGTGTCTCCCAGCTGTCCTGATATGTCAGCAGATATGGCTGACCCTGCTCTCTGGCTGCAGGCTCTGGTTGGTTTTCTACACTGAAGCAAAAAACGGCAATGAAATGCTGAAACCTAAATTAGCATTAGAAAATATCTGTAAATCTGATAAAATGTTTTTATTTCATGCTGGCTGTCCCTTCTTTTGACAGTTTTATAAGAAAAAAATCCCATCTCATCCTCCGCTCGTGATCCCGTGATCCTTCCAAGCTCGGGTCCTCTGCCAGAGGCTGGGAGCTTGAGGGGTCTGCACAGTTGGCCGTTCCTGCACTTTTCTGGACTGAGATGAGGGATCTGCTTTAGCCACTCCTCCAGTTTGGGGATATATATATATATATATATATATATATATATATATATATATATATATATATATATATATATATATATATATATATATATATATAATGTATGCAAATCTCTCTCCATAAACATGACTTAAATACATGAGAAACTGTGCAGCCACATCTGTTTCTAGCTCAATTTCTTCAATAGGATTAGTGCATTCCATCTGGTGGACAGGTGGGGATTGCTAGCTGACCACTGGTAATGTTGTTTTGCTTGTGTCTGTGCGAAACATCTCATACATTCTACTGAAACTCACAGAAATCCTGTATTGACCTTTAGAGTCTTCCCATCCAAGATGGCTGCCAAACAGCACACCGTTCTGTTATGATTAACTTTTTTATAATTCTGGATCAGACATCTGCTAAAGACCCAAGAAGCCTAAAATAAAGTGTAATTTTTAGAATGATGGTTGAGTGTGTGTGTGTGTGTCAGAGCGGCTTTCTGACCACAGCATGTCCTTTCAGGTTTGTGATTGGCCGAGAGCGCCCGGGTCAGCAGAGTGAGGTGGCCACTCTCATCCAGCAGACCCTGGAGCAGGAGAGGAGGCAGCGAGAGCTCCTGGAGCAGCAGTACGCCCACTACGACGCAGACGATGACGAGGTAAAGCCGGACGTACACTGTGCGACTTTTTCACTGTTTTGAACCGATTTTCCACTCGTGCGAGAATCCACAAGATTGGAGCGAGTTTTGCGCCGATCGTCGTGAAGTGTACAGGGGTTACGAGAGGCGATTAACACCACGTGACCAGCTACCGATCAGCAGTCGTGAGCTCGCACGGACTTCTGGAGTGTTTGATATTTTGCTCGTTCCTCGTGAAGGTTGAAGCGGCGCTGCGAGCAGCTGCAACCCAAAAATTACCAGAACCGCTCACAGCGCAATCATGCATCAACACCGCTCACCGCTATTTCCCTAATAACACATGTTGTTCGTTTTTATTTCTAAACATTTTTTTTACATACAGTGACAAAGATTGTCAAGAAAGCGTGTTTGTCGTGTTCATGTCAAATTAAACTGATCACAAAACCCAGATTTACTTTCTTTATTTCGTTTTCCTCATCCAACCCCCATAAATCCCTGTGTGTCCTCCTGCAGCACTCCCGAAGGACAACAGGCAAAACAAGACAAAAAAGTCTGACGTGTTGAGTAAAAACTGCTATTTTTAGCATATTTTTAGGTCCGACGTGTTGCTACCAGACGTACAGTGTGAGCAGTCAGGTCGCATCCAAGAACTGGGTGATACAGTGTGAGCACGTGACTCGTGAGATCTGCCCTGCAAGGAAGTCGTACAGTTTGAGCTGAAGCTGAGTGCTACGAGTGAAAACTCACACAGTGTCTGCCCAGCTTTAAGCCTGGTTCATGCTTCTCCGTCAGCTCCGCAAGGGACAGACACGCACGGATTGATGGAAGCGTTTTGCTCTTTTACTTCTCCGTCTCCTGGAGAGTGTTGCAAAGCAATTCCCCGGCAGGACAACAGAGGGCGTAGCGCTGTTCTGTGGTATCCTGTCGTGTATCGTCCAAGATAGTGTGTTTATATTGTGTTTTTTTGTATATTAGAGATTTTTTAACAGACAAATTTGTCTCTCATTCTCCTCCACCGCTTCATGCGCTTGCCACCTCTAAACCCACGTTTCCTGTCATTTCCGTCCACAAATAAAACGCTTGCTGCGGATCTTTTCACTCCTCCAGTCACGGGGGAATTAAACGTTCACGCTTTTAGAGTTTTTTCGCGAGGTATTCTTCAAGCTTCTCCGTGCCTGCCGCTCGGCTCTCTTTATGTTTTTGAGGGTACAATGGCGGCGGTGTAGACGACAGCGGCGTCCTGACCAATCACAAGCTTGCGATGTCCGTCTTGACTGACGGATGTTTAGAAAAGAGAGCTCGACTCCGTCCGTCCTTGTGGAGCTCTCCGGCAGGCACACAAGGACATTGCGTGTCTCCGCACTGACGCAGACGGAGAAGAATGAATCAGGCTTTAGTCACAGCAGGTTTGATCCACCAGCCCCAGCAGCTTGCTCCATGGAGAATGCTGCTGGAGGGACATGAATCATGTGCAAGGAGAGGGCTTCTTTTACATGGGTGTGATGTTTTTAACATTGTTGTTTTGAGTGATGCTGGAACATCCCATCTTCTGGTGATGTGTTTGTGGATGTCCATTCCTGTGGATGCTGATGCCAGCGCTTCTGTAATCAAGGCTACACACACTGCTGAGGCCCATAGAGCTTTTATGGCTCTAATTTGGCTTTTAGCAAAGCGCTGACATCATGCTGAGCAGAAGACCTTCACTCTCCAGACTTCTGCTGCTCATCATCACTTCCGATCATCGATGCATGATGATGATGATGATGATGGTTTAATGCTGCTGTTTGCACAGGGGCAAACAAACATGTGGGAAACAGGCAAGTGTTGATCAAATTATATTACACAAAGATATGCCATTCCTCTCCAGCATCCATGATGGGATGTTTTTATACAGATGTAGGGGTTCTGAGCATTGTGGCGGGACCTGGCTGGACCACTACATTGCCTATTATAGAAACAATACATAAGAGGAAAATGCAAAAATCCAAAACCACTTCCATCAGTCCTGGCAAGGTTTACAGATGCAGATCCCAACAGTCAAATCCAGCTTATCCAAACCTTTAAAGAGAAAAGGTCAGACACAGGGAAGGCAAAACACTTCGATCAGGGCTGGGCTGAGTCCAGGCAGGCATGGGTTAAAAAATGTTTAATGCATGTTGTAGGGATAGGTACCTTTGACATTTGAATCGATTCGGTACTAATTTCCGGTACCTACGAATCGATACCGGTACTTAACGGTACCAATTTTCGATACTTTTGAGTGTTTAATTATAAAGAGAATTAAAAATATTAAATATATGTTTTTCTCAATATATAACCATATTTGATAAATATCACGATAAATAACATTCAACTGTTTGTATTTTAACATCGTCCTTGTAGTTTTATAAGCTGATAATTAAACTGAAGCAAATATCTTTACTATGAACTAAATTTACTGTGTATCTTCATTCCTTTTACCGTCCTTTTTCATTTGATTTTTCCTACTGGGAAGTTAGAATTTCCGAGGAGAAAGCGAACGCACCATTAGATGATAACAATGGTGGCATAGGAAGCTAACATATCAAGCTAACGTAATCTTAAACAGTTTATTTAGCTGCTGGAGCAGATTAAAACGATGATGCCTCACACTTAGATCGTTGTCACTGGTTTCATCTTCACCCAATCACCCGTCACATTTAGTAAAGTGAAGCCAAACTTTAGAGCGCGTTCATGTTCTTCTAGTCGGAAATTCGGAGTTCCGAGGAGAAAGCGAACGCACCATTAGCGAAACGGAAGCTAACAAATCAAGCTAATGTTATCTTAAACATTTTATTTACCTACCGGAGCAGATTAAGATGAGGATGTCTCACTTAGATCGTTGTCGCTGGTTTCATCATCACCCAGTTACCCATCACATTTAGTGAAGTGGACCCAAGCTTTAGCGTGCGTTCTTTCTACCATGCTGCTCTGTTTACAACTGGCTCGCAGCGACCGACGACATAACGCTCTTGCGTATGTGCAGCTGTCTAGGCAAGTTCATGTTGTGAAGGACGGGTACCGAAACGAGGCACCGTTTGAAATGAAGTGAATCGGTGCTCGGTCGGTACTGTGGAATTTGGTCGGTACCTTAAAAGTACCGAATTCGGTACCCATCCCTAAAAATTTTACATAGCATCGTTTAGGGTCAAACAACCCCCCAAGGTACTCTACAACACAACAACTTTCCTCCACACACATTTACATACTGGGGGTGATGAGACAGAGGTGAGGCTGCTTCACACAGGCACCACCACACCCTCCGACTACCACCAGCAAGTGAAGAGTGTAAAGGGCACAACTGCCACAGACTGAGCTGGACTGTGGCGACTTCTGCCACAGTCGCCCCAAAAGAAAAACCTCATCACAGTCCGAGCGTGAGGCAAAAACATGGAGCATGGAACGCTGAAGCGGCAGTTGCAGATGCTCTGGCACTGTGGGAGAGACTGAGGAGAGCTGCTACTGTAGGTCAGAGGTCAAAGGACACAGGTATGAGCATGATTACAGGGAGCACAACGTGAACCAGAGACAACCAGATCACGCTATCAGATGCTGAGCATCATCTGTAAAACCTACAAGTGTTTTCCGTCTAAACCACAGAAACAAAGCAGCCTCTCATTGGCCAGCCGTGTGGACCAATCAGATCAGAGGTCTGTTGATGCAGTAGGAGAGCAATGCAGGGAAAACATGAGACTATATAGGACATGGTAATGAGACGTGTGTGTGTGTGTGTGTGTGTGTGTGTGTGTGTGTGTGTGTGTGTGTGTGCGTGCGCACGCGTGCGTGTGTGCGTGCGTGTGTGTGTGTGTGAAGTATTAGCTCACTTCACTGCCTCTCAAGGCTCCAGCTAGCTCTCTCGTTTCTGGTTTTAACTTGAAAATAATCAGCATTATATTCAGATCTGTAACCTTCTGTTTGAAAAGCTTAACATCCTGAATTCTGGAGGCTTGTTGCCTGAAATGCGATTGGCGCCTTTTAGTTCTGGCAGTCAAATCCATTATCTGTCAGCGGAGCTGGATGCTGATGCCTTATGTAACAGTCAGCAACAGAACAGCATCACTTATGTGGAAACCTGCTGGAGACGAGCAGCATGGGCAGGAAGTACAAACCAAACATGGAAGCTAGCATGTATGAAGACAGCATGTTAACTCTGCACTGAAAGGCTGCAGGTGGGATTCAAACCTGCAACCGTGGACAACCAGGATACATTTAGATAATTAAAAAATAACATTTTATTACTTTTCACAATTTTCTATGGGGGGGGGGGTATTGTTTCACAATTTAAAAAATAAGGATGTTTTAGCAATATTTCTTAATTAATAAATAATAGTATTATAATTATTTGGTCTGTACCCAAAATGAGTGACAAAAGGTTGTAATCATTATTTTCTTTAATTTCTTCAGCTTCACTGGGATTTCCTTAGATTATTTCTAAGTGTAAAATTTTTATTTTGTTGAAAGAAAGAAGTTTGATAATCAGATTTGCTGTTAGCAAATACCAATTTTTAAATGTAATCCTCAGGAGGAAGTGATGAAAACAGCCTTTTAGCTAAACGGTTGCTAAAGTTTCAGAGGTTCGTAAACCAAACATGGTAAATAAAGGCTGAGTGTCACTCTTTTATGTTTTTATTTTAGTTTCCTAAAATGGTCAAAAGCTGGAAACTCGGCTTAAAAAGCGTCTAAATTAAATTCCCACACAGTGGCTGAAGAAATCAAGAAACACAAAATGATCAGTCTCGCGTGTAGGCGGCGCTATTCCTCCTAAAGGCTTTACGTTGTGTCCTGAAGCAGACGGGCGAGTACGCCACGGATGAGGAGGAGACGGAAACGACGGAGGGAGGCGAGAAGAGCATCGAGGTGTTCGACCTGCCGGAGAACGAAGACATCCTGTCTCCATCAGAGTTAGACGCCACTAAGCTCTACCAGAAGTTCAGAGAGGTAAACATGTTCCTGTGCATGAATGGAAATGTTGTTCAGAGCAAAACTACTTGAAATATCTTGAATGTGGTTAAATAAAATTTTATCTGTTGAACATCTCTAGTTCTGTTTAGGACCACCTTACCCAAATGTGGCCCTTTAAGGGCTACACCTATACCAAACAGACTCTGGGTTGCAACACCATCAGTTTTATTCTGGTGATGGTAGAAGTAAACTCAGAATGTGTGTGTGTGTGTGTGTGTGTGTGTGTGTGTGTGTTTGTGTGTGTGTGTGTGTGTGTGTGGTCTTTGTGATTCTTCTAATATAAACTTATGCTTTTTTTTTCTTATTCTAACTTTTGACTCTTGTGTGAAAGCGGCTCAGCTTTCTCTGCATCAGGAGGTTTTCCTTTCCCCTCTGGGGGTGGATGTCAGCGCGAGAGCCGGGATGCAGCAGAGAGGAGGACAGGGTCGGCCGCCTCCGTCAGTCACTCTGCATCGACTGCAGAGAGGCCACGCATCTGATCAGCTGACCGCCCGTCTTCCCCTCTCCTGCTCTCTCACTCACCCATCTCTGCTCTCCACAGCTCCAGATCAAACACACGGTGACCGAGGCTGAGATCCAGAAGCTAAAAAGCAAGGTAAGAGAGCCAGAACCATGAAGAGTCAGGACTCCATGTTTCTGTGATTGGAATCTTTTCATAAAATGTTGTTTTTCAGCTGAATTTAAATGATAAATGACCCACACTTGTATAGCGCCTCTCAGAGTAAGGACTCCAAAGCGCTTTACACTACAGTGTATCATTCATCCATTCACACACACATTCACACACTGATGGTGATGAGTTACGATGTAGCCACAGTTGCCCTGGGGCGCACTGACAGAGGCGAGGCTGCCGAGCACAGGCGCCACCGGTCCCTCCGACCACCACCAGCAGGCAAGGTGGGTTAAGTGTCTTGCCCAAGGACACAACAGCAGAATTATCTGTCCGGAGCCGGGATCGAACCTGCAACCTTCTGATTACTGGGCAACCCGCTCTACTTGTTGAGCTACTGCTGCCCCAATTTAATTTGTTATGTGCAAACAAAAACAAACATTTATCAGCAAATCACTTCATAGTTATTGAATATTACTTGTTTACATAAAACACTGAATGTGAAGTAGATTGTTTACATCTTTTTTCTATCTATCTGTCTGTCTGTCTGTGGTCTGAAAGCCTAATAGGCTAATTAAGTGTAATGATGGTTTCATGTTTCCATGGAAGCAAAGTGATGCAGTTTGTGTGCCCATTCAGATCTTCTTGGAGGACACATTCCATCATATCTGCATGTATTCTCATTTCCAACTCTGAAGTTTAACGTTTGTGGAATACAAAACAAAGTTGTGTCTGACCAGGGGACAGCTCATCTCGATGGTATACGTGCGAGGGACAATTTCCTGTCTGGATTTCCAAAATATCATTCAGCTGAAACAGCCGAGAGTTTCTCGTGACATCTTTATGGCAGCTGATGAGAAGAAATTTACAGTTCTGCTGGATCCTTCTTCAGCTTTCACTAGTATTGACCATTATATAATGGGTAAAAGAGCTTGGCGTGGCAGGCACCGTAGTTCAGTGTCCTGGTTAACCAGCTCTCCTCTGAATCTGAGCCTATGAATTGTGGGGTCCCGCAGGGGTCTGTTTTGGGTCCCACTTTATTCTGACTGCATTTATTTCCATTAGGTCAAGTAATTTGTCATCTTAGTTGTGTTTCTTACCAGCTCTATGTTGACAATGTTCAGCTGCATTCCTACATCTTGGAGAAGGAGCTGCATGGGTCTTCAACTTTCTTTGTTCGGTTAAACATTTGCTCAATGTTAATCTTCTGCAATTGAACGCAACAAAACTAGAGACTATAATTATGGCTACAAATCAGAAAACTTAAGCCATCAGAGACTACTCGGGTTGCCTAGACTCATCGGTGAAATGAAGGTTGCGTAACCTGGGTTTGTTACGTGACTCTTAGATGTCCCTATCTGGCCATGTTAGCCTGCTAGCTAAGGCCTCTCCTTCCCCCTAAGAAATAAAGCCAAGTTGCATTCCTTGCTCTCCAGATCTGACCTTGAAATGCTGATCCATGAGGTTATCACCTCCCGTTTGGACAATTGTAATGGTCTTTTTCTGTGTGTTAGCGATGAAGACATGGCACACCTTCAGATGGTGCTGATCTCTCAGGCTAACAGGAGATCCCCCGGTGCTTGAGGTTCTGCATTGGTGACCCGTACGGTTCAGGGTACATTTTAAGGTTCAGGTCCAGAACTACAAGGTCTTGCATGGATTGGCATCATCAGATTTTTACAGACATTCTCATTCCATATAAACTCTCTTGTTCTCTTAGATCTGCAGACCTTCACCTTCTGATCATCCCTAGTACTAGATTTAGGACTAGAGGGAACTGCTCCTTCCAGGTCGTTGCTCCTACCTTGTGGAGTGTTCTTCCTGTGTCGCTGCGTTTGTTGCCCCTGGTGGCTGGATTTCATGAAGGGACTGAAAACTCACCTGTTTTACTGGCTTTGGTTAGCCTTTGATTGTGCTTTTACTGGGTTTTATGATAATTAGCCTTTGAAGGTTGAATTTTTTTTGTTGACTAGTCTGTATGCTCTTCTATCTTATTGTTCTGTAACTTGTTCTATCGTGTGTGAATTTTATTTCTGCAAAGAGCGCAACATACATGAAGTCTGAGTGGAGTTAAGAATAGGGATGTGTATTTTTGAAATTCTGGCGATACGATACATATCACGATACAGGGGAGGTGATACGATATATCACGATATATTGCGATACATTCAGTCAGACGTTACAAGCAATTATTTTTACTGAATTTATTGTAAGAATGTTCAATAAACAGTCCAAACTGATACGTAACATGTTTAACATGAGGTATCTGAACCATGATGGAGGGATTTACATTTCAGTGGTGGAAGCAAAACCCGCTGAACACTGCGGCCAACTAGCGGGTGGCGATTGAATTGCGCAAAACAAAAAGAAAATACACAAATGTTTGCATGTAAATTTTTTCCGGAATTAGCTACACGGCTTTTGAATATCGATGTAATAATCACAGGAAAAAAATCACGATATATTGCCATATAGATATTTCCGATACACGGCTTTTGAATATCGATATAATATTGCTGGGAAAAAATCACGATATATTGCCATAGTGATATTTTCTTACATCCCTAGTTAAGAATATGATCCAACGTCATGACTGCTTGAGATTTATTTAAAGTTAGTTCCGCTTCATTCACGAGCAATGCTGATGAAACGTGGAGTAATGAGGGAGTTTCTGGCTTCCTGGCAGCTGGCGTCTGTGGAGAAGGAGAAACAGCGCTGGGAGAAGGAGAAGAGCCAGCTGAAGGCCAGCATTGAGGAGAACAAGGAGAGGATGCTGAAGCTGGAGAGTTACTGGATCGAGGCGCAGACGCTCTGCCACACCGTCAACGAGCATCTGAAGGAGGCCCAGGCCCAGTACCAGGCTCTGGAGAAGAAGTACAACAAGGCCAAGAAGCTCATCAAGGACTTCCAGCAGAAGTGAGTCATGGCCTTTTGGCTTTTTAACACTATAGCTTCTTTTCATGCTGCTGTTTCTGTCAATTCTGTCTTTTTCGGGATCTGTGAGGATCTTTTTCACTTTTTTTCTACACGTTTTTTTAATCTACATTTTTCCTTTTCTCTTTTTTTTAATAATGTTTTTTTATTCTGTTCTTGTGAAGCACCTCGTGACTTTTATCTTGAGAGGGGCTTAATAATCTCTTGATTTTATACAAATCTAAGATTGCTGTCATCCATCTTGCTGCCGTTGTTTAAATCCCTTCATCAGTCTTTATGAGCAAATACAAAAACTGATTTATTATGACAGCAGAATGAATATTGATGTTGGTCTTGGATGCTTGTTCTGTTTAGCTTTCAGTCGCTACTTACCATATAATACCATTGATTTATTCTGGTGGAAGCAGAGCAGCTACTTTTCCTTTGAAGTTCGAACAAAGAGCTGGAGTTTGTGGTGGAGCAGTGAGCTCCAGAAGAGGATGTCTTCTTTAGATGTTCATCAGTCACCCTGAAGTCTTTAAGCATCCTTGGTTTTCTCAGCTGAGTGAGAGGCAGCTGCTGTCTTGTTCGAGCATAAAACCATCCATATATATCAAATGTTTTCAACACGTTGCCATCTGCACCCCCTCCTTTCTCTCCAGAGAGGTGGAGTTCATCCAGAAGGAAGATGCAGAGAGGAGGCGGCTGGAGGAGGCTGAGAAAGCTCACCTGGCTGAGATCCACGGACTGCAAGTCAGGGTAGCGTTCTGTCTCTCCTCTCGGAGGTGTTGGGACGAGTAAATGCTCATTAACACTGACGGTTCCTCTCTGGCAGATCGCAGTGCTGGAGTCTGAGTTAATGCAGCTGATGAAGCAGAACGGCATCCAGGTCAACAACAACAACAGCAACAGCTCAGAGAGGCTCGGCGTTCAGCAGCACAGCCCCAGCAGAGCTGCAGCAACACCACCAGGTCTGCTGGCCTCCACCCACACGGGACTTCCTGCTTCTGTCGTGTTTAGAGTTTAGAGCGAAGAAAAAATAAATAACACGGGCAATTTAGGGGATTTTCTTAAATAAAACTTACATATTTTTCATTTTAAATCCTTAAGGTTTCTTAGATAAACTTCATAGTGAACATTTTATTTTTTCTTTATGGACAGAAATGGAAGTTTGTTTTTAAATATTTGATGTTTTAGACTTGAAAGAGTTAAAATAAGACTACACACAGCTCTGGTTATGGAATTAAAATGACGTCAGTTTCCCCTTCAGAGACGATTATGATCCTTAAGGTTCACCTACTGAACTTTAGTACCTCTGTTAGTTTAGCTTTCTTAATGATTTATTATTTTGTTTGTCTCTCTCTGCCTGCAGACACCAGATGTCCTCACCCCCCTGACCAACAGGAGGACCACAGAGACGCCAGCAGCTCCTCCCGGGGACAGGTTTGTCCTCGCTCACCAGCCTTCTAAGCTCCACTCGGGACGCTTCTTTTCCTCTGATGGAATAATGGCCGTTCTGTCGCGTCTCAACCTCTCGTCGTGTTTCTGGCTCTCATGCCGTCACGTCGCTCAGCTGGAGCAGGGAGAGGGTCAGACTAGATAAACGAGTGGACATCAGACCTGGCAGGAAAATCTCTGTAGAGAAGGAAAAAGAGGCAGAGAAGTTAGAAAAGTGTGTGGGATTAGTCTAGCTGTTCACATCAGACTCATTCCCCCTCCTGTTCTGTTTTACTCCTCTATTGTTACCATCATTCAGCCTCGTGTTTGTCATCAGGTCTGGGTTGGTGGTGATGGAGCAGCGACCAGCGTTGAAGCTGCAGGTGGAGCCGAATGTTCCCCGAGGAAAACCCTGCAGGGTTGGTGACCTCCCACACGACAATCCCACTCTCACAGTCTGAGTTTCTGTCTTCTTGTAATGTTTTGGTTTGATTTCAGACTCTCCTGCCAAGTCCAGTCCATCCCACGGACAAGCACTGCATTCTGGGTAAGATGGAGAATAAAGCCATGTTATCATTTTATTACCTTTTAATTGCACCAAATCATAGATTTAGTTCAGAAACCCAGCCCAGCTGATACCTAGAATCAGGCGGTGCACATGTGGCAGCCATCTTGAACGCGGTTCAGTTTAAATCAGTTGTAGACGTCGATCCAGTAATCTGAGATAATTAGCCAACACTCACACAGACATGACTGGAAAGTCATGGTAATTAGAAAATAGCGTTTTAGCACCATTGACTTGCATTCATTTTTTTCATTCTTCCAGGGTCCGAAAGTAGATGGGTGTGACTTAGGCGCCCTATGACTCCGTACCATCTTCTCGTGCCTTCTCTCCTTTTGAATCCAGCTTTTTTCCACTCAGAGAACCAATCTGACGTTTATTAGTCATTTCTTATAACCCTTTCACTGTTTTCATGGCTCTCAAGCACATATGTCTAAATAAACAATTTTACATCATTAAAAATTAAACGTTGGTCTATCTTTTATAACTACGGGATCCTGAGATACTCTTATTTTTCCACAGAAAAACATATTTGTCTCGTCAACACAAGTTTAGACTGAATCCAAAGGAAATTCAAATTTCCCAGCTTCCACCCAGCATTCAAACGCACCATGTCAGGTGTCATCAATCAGTCAGGTGAGAAAAGGGTCTCAAAAGGATTTTTGTACTTGTAAACTGATCTGTGTGTAATGTAATTTTGTCTGTGTGTACCTGGTGATTTGTGTGTGTGTATTCAATGATTTGTATGTGTAGGAGCTGAAGTCACACATGAAAATGTAAACACAAGTTACAAATCAAGAGTTACACACACACAAATCTTTAGTTGCACACACAAATTTAGATACACACGCACAGATCTTTTGAGACTTTTTTCCCCTCATAGAAGCGATACGCAGCAAGTGTTTTATTCATGGACGGAAATGATGAGAAACGTGGGTTTAGAGGTGGCGAGTACATGAAGAGGTGGAAGAGAATAACATGACAGGATACCACAGAACAGCGCGACACCCTCTGTTATCCTGGCGGGGGATTGCTTTGCAAACTCCCCCAGGAGACGGAGAAGTATGAGGGCAAACTGTCTCCAGCCATACGCGTGTGTCTCTTCTTGGTGGAGCCTACAGAGAAGTAGAAATTAGGCTTAAATCATCCCCTACGCCTCCGCCTCTTTTACAGGATTTAGGATTCTGACATGTACAAACCACCAACAAAACTTCCAGAACACAAACCGAACTGTCGTTCCGTCAGCTCAAGCACACACACACTCTTTCTTGTGCAAACGACAGAGTTGAATCTTAGCCGTGTTCCTAAATAAGAACTCTGTCTTCTAAATGCTTCCCAAGAACCGAACCAGTCCCTGAACAGAAAATGTAAAACATCTCCTTAAATTACATCTCTACCATGAAGGTAGCCCAGCTAGCTTTTCTTCAGTTCAGCAGCTGCTCCATCAAGAACGAGTGCTTCGTGCTCGGAGGAGCTGTTAGGTGGACAGGTTTTGATCCAATCATTAGAATAGGGACCAGCGCTGGATTGGATGAGGTTTTTCCTTGAATGTGTGTTTCAGAGGCAATTAAAATGTTTTATTTTTATCACAAAATATGGAATTAGTTGGTTGTCTTCAGTATGTGCAGAGCATTTAGAGCTAAATGGCAAAATGTGCTGGAAAAATATCCCAGACTGCACCTTTAAAGCTGCAATCTGGATTATTTTTTTAGCTGCCTGCACCACCTAGAGGCTGACAAATGTTCCAGACTTTAAGTCGTTGTCACTACTTCTGTATTTACAACACATTCTCACATCCAAAGCATTGAAAAGTGACGCTGGGTGACCAAGCATTGTTTCCGACGCGCTGTGCCAGAGCGCCGTTTTCCGACTGCCGCGGTAAAATGGAAATTTCACCGATTTCTGACCTTTACCCTCTTGCTATTTAACCATCCCCTCATCCCCATCCTAACCTTAACCCTTTTGCGCAAGCTAAACTTTGTTTCTAGTAACGTCCCTCTCCAACACGGTTAACGGGAACTTTAGAACGAGGAACATGGTTAGGATGGGGTTGAGGGGAAGGTTAAATGGACTTTACGGAGTTTTGAGTTTTTATGCTCGCGATTGCCCCCTCAGGCCAAAAGCGTAACGGCAGCTTCAATAGTAGGCTCGTGCATGAGTCGCGCATGCTGTACGTGCACACTCCTTAACAAAAATAACAGCTGAGACTGTCCCGTGTGTGTGTGTGTGTGTGTGGCCCGGAGGACAGAGGGCAGGAGAACGCACAGCTAATTAATTAAATAATTTGGTTCTGTACCTTTCTCTTCAGCACAGCCGACAAAGGTTTAAGATGGGCCAGTCCTCCTGCATGCTCAGCTCATTCCCGTCCCTTGCTTGAAAAATTGTCCCATAATGAAAGTTGAACCCACATCTTTTTTATCTGTGGATTCAATGCCGTTCTGCGAGTCTCAAATAAAAATTTGGGCATCTTACTGTAAAAAAATATATCATTAATGTAAAAAATAATTTCTAAATAAATTATGTTCACATCCAAATTCGAACCCAGGTCTTCTGCATGAGGGTCCACCGTCTTCCTACGTGAGCTATAGCACCAGTGACATCTTATGTATCTGTAATATTTATATTTTTGATGACAGCTGAAACAACGTTCAAAGAACGGTTCGGAGCGAAAATGGCTATTTTATTGCTAATTTGCAGGAAATATCTAGAAGAAAGTAGCTAAGGGTCCTCAGAAATGTAGCTAGGTTCATCACTAGGCGTTAGGAACAGCGACAAAGTCGCTGAGTTGGCACTACCTCTCTCTCTGCTGCTAAAGCTACTGATAGCAAATGCTATGGGCTATGCCTGAGCGTGAACGCGCATGAAGCAGCCTGCTTGACCCGAGCAGCTCTTTTTCTGTGATTTTACAGAAAAACAGGCAATCACAGTAAAAATGCCAGGGCTCATTCTACAGGACCAGGACATTGCAGGAGAATGTATGAAGAAGACATTTATTATTTCTATACATGTTTTGGCTGTCAGACTTCCATAATGCCCCTTTAAATAGTAAGAGGTTAGAGGTTAAATGTCGGTGAAATGTGCATTTTACCGCGGGCGTCGGAAACCAACGCTTTGGCACAGCGTGTTGCTTGGTCACCCAACGTCATTTTTTGACGCTTCGGGTGTGAGAATATGTTGGTATTTACGGCTGAAAGGTACACCTCTCATCCATGAATGTGCATATATACATATGTGTGTGTGCATTTTAACCCTTTAACTTCTTCACCAAGAAAAAAGCAACGAAAACATTCCACTTGTGCATTTTTTGATGTGGGGCAATAAGGGTTTTAGTTTTAACGTAAATAAATAATATAATAATTGTAATATTAAGGTATTAATAATGCAATGTAATAATGTTACGCCTTTTCCTCATACGACTCCACATTCTTTAGAATTTTCTTGTTTTACTATTTTATTTTAATTTCATGTTAAGTTCATTTCATGCTTCAACGTGATATAGGGACTTTAAGTGGATGTCTTACGCTATTGGCTAATGCTGAATGGCAGTCAGTTTAAATGTCATGGGGCTCTGTGGGACTTAAGGTGGGCTTAGCCAAAGAAAAATAAACGGCTGAATACCTACATTATAACAGAGTACACGATAAGACTTCTGATGATGATGAATTTCTATAAACTCATGCATGACTCCTGACAGGGGGAAACTCAGATTGTAGCTTTGACGTGTGTTTTGTTTAATTTCCAGCTCCACAGAACCGCCAGCAAGCGAGAGTCCAAAGAGAAGCAAGGCCAAGGTGAGATCAGCTGACTGGTGCTCACACATGCACCCATGTCCATCATAGCAGAGTGTCCTCTGTAGGTGAAAAGCTCCCGATTGTGTTCTGATGCATCGTGTTATCCCCGTTCAACACACACGGTCCCATTTCTTCTACTAGCATTTCGTGGTATTGCATTCACCCCGTTTTCTAATAAAGAGGTCATTGCAGAGCCAGTCAAAGGGGAAAAGTGCTTCTACAAGCACAGACATGCTTCAGTTATTTGCTAGTTAGTGTAATAAAATCAATGATTATAACAATTGTAAGTAATGCTGCAGAAAATTTCCTAATTAGCAACAATTCTGAACATCAGTATCAGCAGAAGCTGCACTATTTTGTTTGAAAATGCTTAATGGTCCAAAAGATTAGGAATATTACCACGAGCATCTCCTTGTGCAAAGGTACTAAAGTGGTTTTAATCCAGTATAATATCAGATGTGCTAACTAAAGGATTAAAAAGGAGATTATGTTTTGATCCTGAACGAGTCTTGCCATGTTCTCTCATTTATGAGGACACACTTATGTGAAGATGAGTGCACATCAGAAGATAATTCGGTGCAGACTTTGGGCACATCAATAGTTATGTGAAGCTTTTAGGTGATGATTCGAAGCTCACAGAGCAGAGAGTCTGAGCCTGTGAGATTAGTCTGGCTCACATCACCCCTCTAAGCCGATGTAGACAAAATCTTTTTTAAACATTTTGAAATCAGGCTTCCATTTAGGAGCAATTGCAGGATGAAGAACAGCATTGCTGCTAGCTGAAAACAACCTCTCAGGCTCCGTCTATGGTGCCGTGCACATTTTTTACATCAGTCTGATTCCCAGCAGCTCTTGGCTCTGAAAGTTTTGAGTGCAAATATTGAAACTTAAGTACATACATTTTTTATAAGGTTTCAGACAGGGAATTAGATATATTTAGAGCTGGATTTCCTCCAAATTCATATATTTAATCACTGACTATGATTACAGTTTGTGAAAATAAGGGATGTGCACGACTCTAAATTGATTACTCCAGTTGGGGTTTTTACTCAAATGCTTCAGAGAAAAACTAGAGGAAAGTTTATCTACTGAGTGAAAAGATTTACTTTTGCATACGAGACTATTGCGATCCGCCAGGCTCCGACTCTGAGGGACGACCTGAGCGCCAGCAGCAGCAGCAGCTCGGTGGAGATCAGCAGCCTGATCAGTGCAGCCAAGACATCGGGATGCTCACACACCCTGGTGCTGTCCTCTAACGAGGTACGAACACGTTTCATCTCCAGCATCCAGGTTGTTCTGTAGTTCCTAAGTGTTTAACAATCCAGCTCTTCTCTGTTGTCCCCTGTGCCGCATTCAGAGTCTGGATATGATCGATGACGAGGTGAGAAGGAGGCTGCTCTGCATGTGTGTGTGTGTGTGTGTGTGTGTGTGTGTGTGTGTGTGTGTGTGTGTGTGTGTGTGTGTGTGTGTGCATGAACTGTCTCCCTGTGTCTTGTTGCTTAACCTTATTATCATCAACACTACGATAGTGAAGAACGTCGTTTTCCCAGACGTTTCTTACAGCACTAAACATAAAAAGAATGTCGTATAGTGGAAAATGCTCAGAACCAGATGATTAAATGCAACGTTAAAAGAAATAAATACCACGCAGAAGAGTAAACAAACTGGCCTTTTTCATTTTGCCTCCAGAGCTGGAACTCTGATCCCTCCAGAGCTGGAATCCAGCACCCACGTTTTGGAATTACTCCTCGATCTCGCAGCGGCCTTAATACTGTCAGTTTGCATCATTCTATTTTAGTTGATGGACTTGAATCATGGGTGGATGTTTCTGGGACCCAACTCAGCTGGTTCACTTCTCACCTCTCTGGCCGCTGCTTTCGAGTTAGCATGGATGACTTCTCCTCTGGCTCTGCTCCTCTTCCCGTTGAGAGCAGGCGGTTTGGACCCAAAATGCAGAAATCCAGACAACTCAGGCAGGAGCGATTGAATAAACGAAAAAATCATTTTATTAGGATGATGAGTAATTTCCAAAGGCAGGAAGCCAAGCCAAAAATCTAGGAACACTGAATTACAAAAACAAAAGTTTGTTTATGAGCAAGGACCTGGAGTTACTAGAGGAGGGCAGAACAACGCTGACAAAGACAGTGGACCAACAAACACTGAGGGACAAGACAGGGTTTTTAACACTTGGGGGGAGCAATCAGGGGAACAGGTGACAGGTGTGAGGAGTGAGAGTGAGGTCTGGAGGGAAGACAGGTGCCATTAATAAACTAAATGGGAAAAGAACTTAAGCAGAGGGGAAGGTAAACCATAATCCTAAAGACAAAGGGCAAAGATAAGCAACTAATGACTAGAGGGGTGAGGAGGACTAATACAAACCAATAAGAACTACACGGGAGTGACTAGGAGGAAACATGAGGGAAGTCTAGAGGGAGCTGGAGAACACAAGGAGACACACAGAGCACAAGGGGACACATGAGGGGAACGCAGAGGATGAACAGGAAGGGGCTGGGGACCAAGGGGACACAGAACATGACACCCTGGGGCATCCCCCAGGGCCCTATCCTTGGACAACGGCTTTTTTCTGATATACTTGTTTTCCCTGGGGAGGATTCTGACTAAGCACCAGATCAGTTATCACCTTTGTGCTGATGACTGCCAGCTCTACATCACACTCAACCATCACGATTCCTCCAATAAGTTTGCGGACTGCCTAGATGAGATTACAGGCTGGCTGGCAGCAAATGCTGTGAAACTCAACAAGAGTAAGACTGACTTGATCGTCTTCAACACTTAACATCCCTCTCACCCACTAAGCACTCCTTCACTACCCTCTTTATCTATTAAAACCTGTCTCACAAGCCTGAGGGGTTACTTTAGATTCTGACTCAACAACGTTGCTCCAAATTAACGCTACCCTGAGATCCTGTTTTTATCAACTTCGCCGTATAACACAACTAAGGCCTATTCTAAAGAGACCTCACCTAGAGTCAGTCATCCACACTTTCATCACATTTCGCTTGGACTATGCTAACCCTATCCTGACCGGGGCAAATGCCTCCTGCCTTAACCAGCTTCAAACAGTCCAAAATGTGGCTGCTAGGTTTCTCACAAACAGTGATCAATGCTGTCATATCCCCCCACCCTCGCCAGTCTACACTGGATTCCAGTGCAATACAAGATTACATTTAATATTCTCACCTTTAATGTTTTAAATGGTTCTTCCCTTCTGTATCTCTGTGACTTGCTCAAGCCTTACACCCCAGCACGCTCCCTCCCATCTGCTGACCTCGGCCTCCTTATGGTGCCAAGGAGGTCTTTCAAATCTCGTGGGGAGCGAGCTTTCTCTCACACAGCCCCCAAACTATGGAACACACTACCCCTGTACATCCGGATGGCACAATCAATAAACCCATTTAAAACACAACTAAAAATTGACTACTTCAGCGTCTTCAAACTGCCACTTTCTCCCTTTCCTTCTTTACGTTCCCTGTTGTCATAGCCTTCCCTACCCTTAGTCTTTTATCTTTGGCTATTAAATGTTCTTATTTCTACTGAAATGCTTGCTTTATTGTATTGTCCACTCTGTGTTCTGTTTTTTTGTTGTATGTACAAGCATAGACTTGACTATCACTTCTGTAATAGTTTAGCCTTGTATGTACAGCACTTGGGTCGGCTGCAACGCTGTTTTAAAACATGCTCGATGAATGGATGATGCCCAGTTGTACGTCTGAGGCCCTTTTTCTTGTTTTGTTGTCTTTCTCATGGATGATTAGATCTTAGACGAGTCTTTAAAGCAGCATCAGTGGCAGAACCGCAGTGTTACAGAGTGGACTTCACAGCAGGTGGGACGCTGGCTCATGGGGCTGAACTTAGAACACCATATCCCAGAATTCACTGCCAAAAACATTGAAGGAGCAAAGCTGCTACAGCTAGACAGCGCTAAGCTGAAGGTACCTGTAGATCCTCATGTCTAAAACACACAAAGGTGTTAAAACAGGAATAGACATTGAGCTCACAGCTGCTCGTTACTTTTTTTCAGGCACTTGGAGTCACCTCCTCCCAGGACCGGTCCTTGATCAAGAAAAAGATTAAAGACCTTAAAGTTCTGATGGAGAAGACCAAGCAGAACTAGGAGAAAATAGAGAAGCAGCGTGAGACGCTACGAAAGAAGGAGCAGCAACAGGAGGACTGAACCTTCAGATCACCTCCTGTTGCTCAGCACCTCCTGGTAGGAAATCAGGAGGTCCCAGATACAAGCCCTGAGGGACGCCTTGGTGCTCGGTGGCACGGCTCCTCTCTTTAATGATCAGAGGTTGTTGAGTGACCTTTCAACCTCACAAATTCAAACCAAATCCAGCAACTGGACAATAGACACCCGCCCTTTATTTTCCTCATTTTACTGTAATTTATTCCTAAGAATTTACTGTTTTATTTATTTATCCTGTTTATAGCTGTAAATTGGGTTTATTTATTCATGTCCAGGTTACGTCTGTGAAAAGTTTGGCTCATCCGTCTCTAAACTGTCCCCGAACCCACATTCATGTACAGAGATGAGGACAGTGAAGTTTGTTAATGTGCCATTCCACGAGGCGTGAACGAGCAGAACCTGTGTTGTCCCCACGCTGCTTCCCTTCATCATTCTAGAAACACTGGACTGCTCCAAGGTGAGCCGGGAACCTGGTTTTACTGGGAGAAATGAACAGTTCCAACGTGTCCTCTGAGCTCTGAAAGGACAAACTGAGTTACCTGGACAGGTGTGATTATTCTGCTAACCCCCAACACAACTCCCATGTTGAGTCTTCCTGCTCATTTGCATCGTGTTTCTGGGACTCTGCTTCTAATCTGCTTTTGACCTGTTTTATATGAATCTGTGAGGAAGTAAAACCCCGCCGCTGCCTTTAGATGTGCTAGAGGACCTCTGAGCTCTACCTGCTTCTGTGTGAGTGTCCAAACCAAACAAGGACTTCTGTCCTTTTGTTACGCGTGGAACTCAGTAATGCTTAGGAATCCTGCCATACCGATACCACTCCCGGGACTGAAGCAGGTAAAAGATGTGTTTTAAATCAGATCACGCCTGGAAACTTTTATTGAACTTTGAAATTACAGTTATTAAGAAATCTGTTTGATTCACACTTAAATCATCTCTTCATTTATATATTTGAACTGATTTTAACTGATATTATCTAGGTTAAATGTTATTTATTGTTTCTGAGAATTTACTCTTTATATTTGCAACCAGTCACAGTGATTAAAATGAGGGCAGCTGCTCTCCTGAGCTCCATGTTTTGGGTAAAACACCTGATTGGTGTTTTTGCTGATGAGTTACAGAAACTGCAGATCTTCTAAAGGGAATTCATGTGGGCAGAATATGTCCACATATAATCTAATCTGTTTCAACAGCTGTTTGAACAACCTCAGTTTGGAGAAGGTTAGTTCTGGTAGGATTAACAAGCTAACAGCTAGGCACCGCGTTTTATATATATATATATATATATATATATATATATATATATATATATATTCACATATATATATATATATATATATTCATATATATATATATATATATATACATATATATATATATATATATATATATATATATATATATATATATATATATGAGGTGATAACAAAACAGTGTTTGGCTGAGGGAAGTTCTTAAATGATTGTTTTTAAGAGTTCATGTCTTCCTTTATCGATACAGAGCCTCAGCTGAAGGGCTGAATATGTAGCTAGCTGACTTTGCTATGGTTTAAATTTGCTGACTCCTCCCATTTTGGTGTTTGCACCTCCAACAACCTCCAGCAGCAGCTAGCTACGGTAGCAAGAAGCAGGGACATTTCAATAAAAAGCTATATTTTTAATAAATAATTCCTCCGCGGGGCGTTTAGAGGTGTGCAGAATTAATGTACGGTTTCTCCTTTAAAAGCTATATTTAAAAAAATAAATAATGTAAACACTGGGTTTATGTTTACATCTACCAGCCAATAGGGGGCACTGCTGCGGTAATAAAATCCCCTCTGCAACGCGAGGCTGAGTAAGATGGCGGACTCGTTAGGTCAAGCAGCTGGTTCTGAGCCCAGAAAATGTTCTAACAGTAAATGCTGCTGTAAAATAAACGTATTAGTAGAAATTAGTCCTTACCCTGTACGATCCGTCACTGAACGTGAAGCTGACTCGTCACTTCATGTATCAGCAGTGAATCAACACCCCGACGACTGGAAAATATGTTCTGTTGTTGCACTACCACCTCTAAACACTAGATGCCGCTATAGTGTTCATGATTCATATTCAACCTTTAAACTGTCAGAAAGGAAGCATGACGTGGTTTTTTACATGGGACCTGATGGTCATCTGCAGCTGAAATGAGCTACACTGTCTAACACTACCAGGCTGTTTCTTCTGGAGCAACCATGTGATGTGAGGATGGAGACTATGTGAGGGTTTAAAGTTGCTTTAGAGTGGAAATGGTCAAACAGCTGCTAATCTGTGTTTCTCCAAACCGAGATCTTTCAAACAGCTGTCATTATTATTATTATTAGTAGTAGTAGTAGTATTAATGCCTTTACAAATCATTCGTTTCATAACCTCACCATCAGTTATTTATCTAAAACATGATTTTTAGAAGTAAACAACGACACCTAATCGATCCAGAATTGTACAATTAGATGTTTTTGACAAATCCTTTCATGAAAGCTGACCAGCTCCAGGCTGGCATAGAAAGGTCCTGTAAAGTTAACCCAAAGATGGACTGTCCTGTTTTGCTGGGAGTTTCCCTCTCTTCTAACCAGAGCGCTTCCCCCGTAAACTGCTACTGATGAATTCTTATGAAGTATTTTGTAACACGTGAACCCTCGTGTGAAAATCCCAACGAGTCCCTCAGCAGGCTGGGCTCTTTTCACTCTTTTGTACTTTAGCTAAACACTAAAAGCAATATGGTGAAGAAGCCTTGTTTTATATTGTGTCCATGTGTTTGAGCATTAGATTCAAGGGCTGTGTGTGTGTGTGTGTGTGTGTGTGTGGTGTTCTCATGTCTCGTCACGGTGCCAGACTAGAGTCAAGCTCAACAGGGTCTTCTTTCCCCGCTGATTCTGCCAAGCCCGTTCCCTTGGCTGTGGTTTCACTAGATAGGAGGTAGGGACAGTGGGAATCTCGTTCATCCATTCATGCGCGTCACTAATTAGATGACGAGGCATTTGGCTACCTTAAGTGTGTGTGTGTGTGCGTGTGTGTGTGTGTGTGTGTGTGTGTGCACGCGCGTGTGTGTGTGTGTGTGTGTGTGTGTGTGTGTGTGTGTGTTTGGATGCAGGCAGGTAATCATCCATGTTTCTATTTTTCATGAACATAGAGACAAAGAGAGGTTCCCTCAAACTGCTTCCATGTTTTCATCCTCATGAAAAGCTGTCTCCTCCTCCTCCTCCTCCTCTCTCTCTCTCTCTCTCTCTCTCTCGTCTTTTTTTTTCATTTTACTATCATCTTTTTGCGCTGTGGCCAGATGGAAACAGCAGCTACCTGTCAGCCTGAATAAAATGTGCAGCAATTGTCCAGTTTGCTTCTGTATTTTCTGATCGTCTTCACTTCAAATCTAACATCCATCCACCCACCCATCCTCCATTCATTCATTCATTCATTCATTCATCCAACAATCATCCATCCATCCTCAATTATCCATCCATCCTTCATTCATTCATCCAAAAATCATCCATCCATCATCATCATCCATCCATCCATCCATCAATTATCCATCCTTCATTCATCCATCTCTAAACCATCCGTCCATCCATCGATCCATTATCCTAATTCATTAATTTATCCATCCATCATCATCATCCATCCATCCTTCATTCATTCATTCATCCAACAATCCTCCATCCATCATCATCCATCCATCATCATTCATCCATCCTTCATCTATAAGTCATCCATCAGTCCATTCATTCATCCACCCATCCATCATTCATTTATCCATCCATCATCATCCATACATCATTCATTCATCCATCCTTCAATCCATCATCATCCATCCATCAATCATCCATCCTTCAATCCATCATAATCCATCCATACTTCATTCATCCATCCATAAATTATCCATCAATCCATTCATCCTTCATCCTAATTCATTCATTTATCCATCCATCCATCATCATCATCCATCCATCCAACATCCATCATTATTCATCCATTCATAAATCATCCATCCATCATCCATCCATCCAACATCCATCATTATTCATCCATTCATAAATCATCCATCAATCCATTCATCCATCATCATAATCCATTCATTGATCCATCCATCATCATCATCCATCCATCCATCCATCATTCATTCACCCAACAATCATCTATCCATCCTTCATTCATTCATTCATTTATCCATCAATCATCCATCCTTCAATCCATCATCATCCATCCTTCATTCATCGATCCATCATCATCACCATCCATCCATCAATTATCCATCCTTCAATCCATCATCATCCATCCATACTTCATTCATCCATCCATAAATCATCCATTCATCCATCCATCATCCATCCATCTATCCTTCATTCATTCATCCATCAATCATCCATCCTTCAATCCATCATAATCATTCATCCATCCATCCATCATCATCATCATCCATCAATCCATTCATCCATCATCATAATTAATTCATTTATCCATTCATTCATCCATCCATAAATCATCCATTCATCCATCCATCATCCATCCATCTATCCTTCATTCATTCATCCATCAATCATCCATCCTTCAATCCATCATAATCATTCATCCATCCATCCATCATCATCATCATCCATCAATCCATTCATCCATCACCATAATTAATTCATTTATCCATCCATCTATTCATCCATCATCATTATCCAACCATTCATCATCCATACATTCATCCACTTCTACATTCACTCATTCATAATCACAAGTGGTCTGCCTCCAGCAGGGTGATGTTTTTAACCTCCCAGCTCTTCCGAATCTTTCAGACTGATTTTGACCAACAGTTTTTCAGGTTCTTCAAAATGTTCTTTAGAATTTTTTTCATCACACAGCTTTGTCACTATTTCACTTATTTTCATTCCTGTCACCAAATTTTACACTTTAACTCATTTAACCTCATTTCTAATCTCTGGATTATTGAATGAGTAAATTTTATCTGTACACTAGAAATGTCAAAAATGGTGGTGTCACCTGAAAAAGACCAAATTAACCGTGTTTAGTCTTAAAGCAGCAGTGAGGGGATTCCCACTGGGCTGAAATCCCATTTTCAGGTCTTTGATGGAATCCTCCCTCTTTTCTGCTTGCAGCTCTTCAGAAACAGATTCTGTTTACTTGTTGTTTTGTGGTCAAACCATTAAAAACACTCCAGTTCTGGGATGAAAAAACAGCCAAAGGAGAACCTGGAAGGAAAACTTTAGAACTCTTGGAGAACCACTGACCCATCCCGCTCTTTGGACTCCAACGTGAAATCAAGAGGAGTTTCCCATGACACTAACTGTTTCTGTCTGGATTTTGTTTAGCTATGGTTCTCACGAGGTTGGTTATTTTTACCATGTGACCTCTCATGAATGATGGATGCACTGGCAGAACAGCTGGTCCAGAGTTAGCCAGCTCTGAAACCCCCCCCCCCCCCCCCCCCCAACACACTTTCTATTTTCACCTCAGGACTATTGCCTTCCTCTGATGACGCTCTCTTCCCGTTTCTCTTACTTCATTTCCTTTTCTAACTCTGGCTATGGAGGCCTTGTCTTGGTGGATATGCTACATTTCTTCATCATCGTCTTCCATTCTGTCATTTCCATCCTCATCAATGCCTTGACCACTGTAGTAGATTTTGACCTTGTTGATTTGGTGACAGAAGGCTTCCAGGATTTCATGGAGTGTTTGAGTCCCAGACAGCTGTCTCTCAAACAGCTGAAGGAAAAGTTCCTTCAGGCCCTGCAGGCCAACGATGCACAGGAGGTTCTGCAGATTCTGCACACTGGAAAACTAGACATCGACACTGTGCTGGAAGTGGATGACCCAAGCATGGTTTTAGCATCATACAAACAAGGTGAGAAAGATATAATGAAACATTTCCCTACTTCAATAGGTCCATGAGGTTAACCACTAGAGGGTGCTGACCTACAGTTTACATGTGTGCACGTGTAGCTGGGTTATAGTGCTGCTGGGTGCTAGTGATATACAAACAAACTACTTTTGCCAATGGAAACATTATGGACAGAGCACTTAGATGGTGATAAAAACAAATTAGATAGATAGATAGATAGATAGATAGATAGATAGATAGATAGATAGATAGATATCCTTTATTGTCATTAAATGATTGCCCATTCAACGAAATTTCCTGGAGCTTCACATTAGGCATCCGCTAAAAATACTAAGAAAAATTACTAAAACAAGTACAATATGCACCATGCAATAAAAACAAAAACATTACAAAATACAATAAATAATATCAATAGAGTTGATTTTTCGGTCCATTCAGGGTTCTAACAGCCCAAGGAAAGAAACTCTTCCTCAGTCTGTCGGTCCTGCAGCTGAGGGATCTGAACCTTTTCCCAGAGGGCAGCATGGCAAAAAGGTAGTGGTTTGGGTGGTAAATGTCCCTGGAGATGGTCCTTGCTCTAGTGAGACACCACTGCAAGGCGATAAGTGTCCAAAGAGGGAAGGGTGCATCCAATCACCTTTTCCGCCACTCTAATGACCCTCTGGTATCTGTTTTTATCAGCTACTGTGCACCCCGCGTACCACACAGGGATAGAGTAAGTCATCACGCTCTCAATGACTGCTCGATAAAAAGACACCAAGAGGTTGGTCTGCAGCCTGTTCCACTTCAGGACCCTCAGGAAGTGCAGCTGCTGTTGTGCTTTTTTGACCAAGGCAGTGGTATTGATTGTCCATCACAGATCCTCAGAGATGTAAATCCTGAGAAACTTAAAGGAGGGAACTCTCTCCACCTCAGCTCCTTTAATGCAGAGAGGGCGGGGGGCATCCTTACTCCTTCGGAAGTCAATAACCATCTCCTTGGTCTTTCTGATGTTAAGAGAGAGGTTATGATCATCACACCATTCTGATAAATGGCAAACCTCATCTCTGTATGCTGCGTCTTCGTTGTTATCGATAAGACCTACAAGAGTGGTGTCATCTGCAAACTTAATGATTTTATTGGAGCGATGAATAGGAATGCAGTCATGGGTGTAGATGGTGAACAGCAGGGGGCTTAGCACACAGCCCTGAGGGGAACCAGTGCTGAGCATCAGAGTGGATGACCGCTTGTCACCAAACCTGACAGCCTGTGGGCGATTGGTGAGGAAATCTTTGATCCAGCCACAGGTGGTAGGGGGAGGTTCAGATTAATCAACAGAAACAAAATCCAAACTTTTTTTTCTTAACCCTTCCACTGTCTTATCGGGTGACCCCACCAGGAAAGTTGACCATTGAGCAGGATTGATGGTTTATCTCTTGAGGTCCACGTGGCAGGGGTGAGGTGGTGCTCACTCCTTGCCCCTACCACGGGGACCTCAAGGGATAAACCATCAACCCGGCTCAATGGTCAACTTTCCTGGTGGGGTCACCCGATAAGACAGTGGAAGGGTTAAACGGGTACACATTACTCACAGTGCTCAAGTTACATGTTCTCTACGTTATTTTTGTTACTCTTAGGTTGTTATTTGTGTCACTACTCAGTAAATACCACCCACCTCTGGTCAAAAGCCTTTATCGTCCACGTTTGGATGCTGTTTGGCCGAGACGTTCTGTTGTTAATATCAGCTCATCATACTCGGACGTAGAACCTGTCCCACTGACAATTTGTATGGAGCATATATACCCTCGATCTGCCCCACCCATGTGAAAAGCCGCTCCTTCAAATAAACACCGCCACTGCTTTGCTTTGTCTGTCTTTAGCTTAGCCCGTTGTCCTTTACAGCTGTTCCATGTGGCCACGGACCTTACTCGGCTTCGGAAAATGGATGAAAAATGTCCCCTCTGGCATTCAACCTGAGTATCTAGAGTCTGATTAACACCTCCTCCAACTGCGGTGCTTGGTTCCTTCCTGTTTGAACATATTTAGGAGAAGAAACTACAACTTTGAGATGCGCCGAGCTTCTCAGACCCATAGGCACCCGTGCAAAATGCATTCTACTGTAGTTTATCTGGGGCGACAGCCCACAGTGCATTGCAACGTTACGTCACAATCTATTTTTAGCTACTGTAAATATGCTTTTTCCATTGTTTGACCTTTCACTGTAAAAAGCTTCAGTTGTCCGATTCCTTGTAGGATATTGGCTCCCGGGGTACAAACTGGAGAAGTCCTGGGCGATGGGCATCCATGTGTGTGTGATGTACAACGCTGTGGAAACAGCTCTGGTGCTTCTCCAGAAGGGGGCAGCGATCAACCAAATGCCCAATGGGAAGACGCCGATGCATGTGGCCTGTGAGGTGTCCAACAGGGACTGTGTGGCTCTGCTCTTGGCTCAGGGGGCAAAGGTCAACAGCTTGTCTCTGAGTGGACACACGCCTCTGCACTACTGCATCACCAGGGACTCTGTCGACTGTGCAAAGCAGCTCATCCTCAAAGGTATAAACAAAGATTCAAACAAAAACACTGAAAATTCTCACATTTACAAAAAAAAAATTCTCTGTGAAGGTGCCAGGGTCAACAAGGCCAGCCACAATAAGGAAGAGGACACACCTCTACACGCAGCAGCCAGATTTGGCATCCCAGAGCTGGTGGCTTTGTTTTTAGCCCACGGAGCATCTGTGGATGCCCTCAACGCCTACCAGGAGACACCGCTGATGACTGCAGTATTTTGGGCATTTGACTCGAAACAGCAAATCTACAGCCAGGATCACCATTTAGTTTGTCGCATTCTGCTGGACCACCGAGCAGGTGAGAGGCGCTGAAGCCTGAAAACAACCTGAAAGAGGAACTAAAAGAAAACAGCTTTCTGTTGCAGATCCCAACGTTAAAGAAGACGACCATAAAACAGCTCTGCACAAGGCAGCCTGGAACTGTGACCACGTCCTGATGCAGATGCTGCTGGAGGTCGGAGCAGACGCACGGGCCATGGACATCAACGGCTGTGCCCCCATTCAGTATCTCCTGAAAGTGACAGGGGTCAGGCCCATGGCTATTCCTGAGCTCTGCTACCAGCTGCTGCTGAACTACAGTGCAGCGCGGATCTACCCTCCACAGTTCCATAAGGTACACAACGACCATTAGAAGCCACTAAAAAGCTGGATTGCTGTTGGTTTTACACATATTTGGCTTTCATTCCTTATGTAGATTTGGGGAAACCATCACTAAACCTTTGTTAGATGACACCTAACCTGACACCGTCTCAGCCGATTACACTTCACCATGAAATCATTTTATGAAGTTAACACGAGGATCTGGAGCACGACTGAACCACACCTGTTTATGCTTGGCTTACCCTTTTGTCGCAACAGTTCAAGTAGCTCCAGATTTAGTCAGCTCCATCTCTGAAGCTGGTCAAGATGATCGCCTACTAAGTCAGAACCATCCCCAACCTTCAGATGGACCTCCTTAACTCAGAACACTTCTGTGATCAGATGTTGGGTTTGTGGTGTTGCCTCTGCTAGTGGAGATGATCAAATCTGCTCTAGTTGGAGCTGAGGGTCAAACTATCCTGTGTGACACCACCTCTTGTGAGACTGTTTCATACTGAGCATGAGGTTATTTTGAAGCCTTGACCCGAACAGCTTCGGCTGATCTGGCATGTGCCAGGCCTTTAACCCTCTGGAGGCAGGCGTTGCAGATTTGCAACGTTAAAACCTACATACCTGGTTACGCCACATACGTATTTTATGAGCATTTTTGAACTCAGAAGCACCCCTGAAGGACTTAGTTTTTTGTCCTCTTTTCAAAACTTATTTTGAGCCTGAGAGGGTTAAGTTGGTGTACTCCACAGGTGTTGCAGTCCTGCTGCGACTTTCCTAAAGCTGTAGAAATCATGGCCAACTCATACGAGCATCTAAAGCCAACCAGAAAGTGGAGATCAGCTATCCCGGATGACTGCTACGAGGTATTTGTGTAACTTCCTGCTGCCTTCTGTATCTAAAAAGCTTGAATCCTTTTGATGGTTGAAGTGGCGATCAGATGTCCATTTGTTTTGTCTCTTCAGCGACACAGAGGCTTCTACGACTCGCTGTTTGCCGTCTGCACCAACACACCACGCAGCCTGCTTCACCTCACCAGGTGTGCCATCAGAGCAAGTCTGAGGGGGTTTTGTGGAGCAGGCGTTCCATGGCTGCCTCTTCCATCGTCCATGAAGACGTATCTACTGTTAGAACCTGAGGGGATCCTGTACTGATGGACAGGCATTTATTCACAGGGTTGGTGTCTGAGAAGAACGATGCTGGCTGGAGAAAATGCATCCGTTTGGTTGTTTTTGATGAGTGCTGCTTTATGTCAACGATGATCCAAACTTACCCTAACCCCTCCTCTCCGTTCACATGACACCCACTTGATCATCCACTCCACATCGAGTGTTTGCTTTTCCAGAGGACTGCATTATTCCATGGACATGATCCAGTTCCCTCACAACAGAAGTTCTACAAATAGAAACAGTAACTTAATACTGCTGTCAGGCTTTATCAAGAAGGAGGAAGGCAACCTGGCTAACTAAGTCTATTTTTGTTGTGTTTAGTGACACTCACCAGTCTGAGGATATGGTTCTTCTGATGCAACTGGTAAAAACCCACAATCAACCAAGGCTCAGATCAGCAGACATAACCAGTCAGGTTTAAATTAAAGGAGCAACATGTAAGAATTCTACCTTTAAAATCAAAACACAAATGTCTCAGTCATGTTGGAAGGAAGGGTACACTGATATTCAAAGAAACAAAAGCAGGATGTAATTACTGTTTACACTCTAGTTTGTGAGGTTGCCAAATCTGCAGTGAGCTAATGTAGCAGCGCAGGCTTTTGTCAGCACCAGCAGGCAAAAAGCTCCAGAGTTGTTTGAAGTAAACAGGAGCTAGTAAGCCAGTAAACAGGAGTGACCCAGAAGTAATTTATTGCACCCATAAGTAGCCATGGCATCGTTTTGTTTTACTCTAATTTCTGGTTAAGCATGCTAGAGGCTAACGTTGAGCTAACAATGATAATGATGAATTAGAAGCAAATAGTTGCCTCTAACAATATCTCAAGCTACTTTTTCTTTTACCAGAAACTCAAAATAACTGTTAAATGTGTGAAAGAGTCGATTGTGGCGTTTTACTAGCCTGGTCTGCCAGACTCCTCTGTTTAATTCTGCACAGAGAAAGGGTCTGGGAACTCTCCTATTCAAATAACCCCACCCCGTGAGAATTCTAACCGAGCCAATCGGCGCTGAGCAGCGTACGTCACACACCATAACGCTGAGTTTGTCATAAACATGGCGACTGAAGCGGCGTTCGCTGTGGCTCTTTCCTCTGGTCTAAATGACTTGGCCACATCTTTAAAACCACAACAAGTAGAAGTGCTAAAAGCCTTTCTTCTTTAAAAAAAAAAAGATGTTTGCGCCGTTGCCAGACACTATTTTTGACCACAGCTAGAAAACTACAGCGTCGCGCGGTACAGTCGGCATTTCCGTCTTTTTTCTGAGGGGTTCTTTTTGAGCTGCCTAGTCCCGCCCCTCGAGTGCCTCTCTGCGCAGAATTAAACAGAGGACGAGTCTGGCAGGTCAGGCTAGCAGTTTACTTCCTTGAGTCAAACTACAACAGCAAGCTAACAGTAAGACAGCAAACAACAACACTTTCTATGATGCTGGAAGCATACTACCGTAATAAGTGTAGTAAGTTCTCCCTACCTTAAAAATAAGAGTCTTAGTAGTATTTTTTTACTTATCAGCTCACTGTGCATCACTCGCCTTTGCTTCTCAACTAGAAATAATCCATAACTGGCAGCAGCCATGAAACTCATGGAATGGAAGTGAGAGTAATATTTTTGCTTTAACCCTCCCACATTGTTAATAAGATCAGATGGGCCCCAGGTGCTTTTTTATATTTTTGGTAGCGCATCACTTGACCCTTGCCAAGGGATAAACTGTCAACCATGTTTCACCACCCCCGGCCTGGAGGGGTCAACAAGCAAGTGGAAGGGAACAAATGGACTGCAGTGACCACATTTGACCACAGGGTGACAGTCTTACAAATTGCACCTTGGGCTTGATCAGAGGTTGGGTGTGATAATTAAGGTGGTTTTGTTTTTCAAGAAATAAAACACATTTTTCTACCACGGTGGCGGATCACATCATCCATTTTAATTACGGAAATAAGAGTTCTCCATTCTGTCAACACCACATGCAGGCTGACGCAGACCGACCTGATCAGGACTTTCTGTCCCTTAAAGCTTTATTTCAAATCATCTAATCTAGATTAATGACTAATCCAACCTTTACAGCTGCTGATGTTGCAGACCTGTGTGACATCTGCAGAGACAGGCTGAAGCAAAGCAGAGAGGGAGGTTGTTTTTGTCCAAAGTCCTTTTTTATCTAAAGGTTATCGAGCTCTTTAGTAAACTCACATTTCTCTGAGGCAGTTTTGTAAATTCTCCCTGCAACCGAATGTTTTTGATCTAGTTTTAATCCTGCAAAAAATAAAAATAAACTGGCTTTGGCCCTCATCGTCTAAACGTTAGGCTTAATTTTAACTCAGTGCAGCCGTGTTAGTCTAACAGCAGCAAGTTAACACTGATGATGCTAAACGTGTAATCATCATGGACCTTATGCCTGTCCACAGGTCACTCAGGAGTTTCTATTTTAAACCCCAATCCAATTTTCACTTGTTTTTATGTGACACAACCTGCACGGGTTCCAGTTCTGCTTCTGATAACACAGAACTTTACAATCCTCACGCCTGATAGCCGACAGGTCTGGACTCATTAGGTAAGGTCAACAGGGAAACACCATCAACTCACCTGGTGTTACAGTTACAGAGCAGTCCAGTCCTAGGTTATTATCGTTGTAGCTCAGAGGAGATCCTGGAACACCCCGTGTGTGTCGTAGCTCTGCGCGTTCAACGGTCAGGCTCTGTTCAGGGAACATTGTCTGGATGACTAAACAGTCAGGCTTAAAATAAACCTGTGGGGGTCTAACTCACACACACACACACACACACACACACACACACACACACACATTTGAAGAGATCCTTCACTCTTATTTTTTCATGTGCAGTGGTCAATAGGAAAGATCGCCTTGCAAGTCATACTTTGGGGGGAAAAAAGCTCCGGTGCACCAGTTGCAGCACAGGATAATTCACCCAGAAGAGAAAGTAGTTGCAGACAACAGGATTTGGAGTCTTGTTTCCTGATATTTGGAAATCTCTGTGATTGCATGACAGCAACATGACTTTTAAAACCGACTCCGCTTGCTCTGCAACTTTGATGTTTCATCTCCACAAATAACACAAGCCTGGAGGAGTTCTGCTGTGTGGTGGAGTTGCTAATGCTAACAGTTAGCTAATACTGAACACCTCCACTGGTTAGTCGAGATGTTCTCTGAAGATGGTTGAGTCCAAGCAAGAACTTGACGTAGATCTGTCAGACGTTTCAAATCCCAGTGTTTCATTGTCAATTTTTAATCACAAGCTGATGCAGGAGATAGGTGTGGGACACAATTTTAGCGTCCAGCCTGCAGGAAACACTCAATGACCCATCATTTTAAAAAATAAATAAAAATGGTTCCTCTTTAAAGATTTTTTGCACGTTTGTGTGACCTCCGTCTCTTCTGTTGAGCAGAATGGAGGCAAACAAAAGCTGAATCACCAAGCAGAACAGCTTGTTCTCTTCCCCGATTGGCAGCCGGCCACGGCCACTGGACTGTGTCTGCTGGTGACTGACAGACGAGCAAAGTTTCCAGAAACTGGGGGCGGTGACTCAGCAGTTATTACAGCCAACAGGTTTGCTTCAAAGTCTGCTTTATTTCTGGTAACCTGTGAATAAAACCTGATTATTATTTATGATGTGTGAGTTCACACACGTCCGTCAAAGGCAGCAAACTGGCTTTTAACAACTAAAAGCTGCAAACGGCGTCATGTTGGGACTTTTCTCAACAGTAACTGGTCCTTTCAGACATGAAGCACACACTGGCCTCCAAGTGAAGCTGAAAAGTTAAAGAATAAAAAAATATATACCAAAACTTTAGTAAAAAGCTTTAAATGGGACTAAAGAAGAAACACGACTGGTGTGTGTGGGCCACGCTGGAGTCAGTGTGCTTCGACAAACCTGTTCAATAAAGATAACGGCGTTATAAAACAGTTTTCACCCAAAATAAACATAAAAGGGAAAGTCAAACGCAGATTAAAACAACAAAACATTAAACTGACATTTCCAGGCATGTTTTAAGTGTTTTTGTGTGATTGTTTTATCTAAAGAGAGGCTGTTCAGGAAGAGTGATTACAACTCCTAATTAAAAATAAAAACATGTTTAAATATCTCATTAATATGTGAGCTATTTAGGCTCCGAGCCATTTCTAAATGGACCAATTTATGTCTTAGAAATACAGAAATACATGAGAAAAACCAAACTTAAATCTGAAGTCGGACATTTATCAGACCCAATCCTGCAGCTGGACCTCAATGTTTACCATAAACCCCAAAATACATCCCATAATACTGAATTATGTTGGCACTTCAACTTAGTTCTGACTTCTTTTTAAATGTGGCACCAAAAAACAAAACTACTAAAAACTTATGTTACTTGTCAGGTCTAAACTAACACACACACACACACACTCACACACACACACACACGTGTGTGTGTTTAGGGCACATGAGGACAGGATTAAACAAGGTGAATCTGGAAGGTATCACAGGTAAAAATGACTTCATTACTATTTGCACCGTAACGTCACCTGAAATGGTTCGACTAGAGGAAACAGTGATGTTTACACTCTTCTACATTTGTCATGGAAACAAAAGCACAAACATAATTCAGCTGCTAACGTTACAGAAACAAAGCCACAGACCGACTTTGCTCCCTCGGCGAGAGCCACCGATGGTGCTGCTGAACTTGAGTCCTCTCCGGCCGGCGTCGCCTGGACTGTTCTCGGCTCTGACGTGTCTAGCCTGCAGCTAAATCACAACTTTGCTCACTGAAGCCAGTCTTTTGAGTTGTTGTCACACAGACGGGAGTCCTGACTGTTTTTTATTGTGAAACTGTGTGAGGATGCAAACACCTGCAGAGAACTCGGGGTCAGAGGTGTGAAAGCAGCAAAACTTCAGCTAACAAAGATCAAATCTGCTGTTTGGCTCTTTTCTGTTGCAGTTTTCCACTTGGTAGCAGATAAACGCAGGCACTCTAACTATGTCCAAACAAAATACACACAACTCTGAGATAAGACTGCATCTCCAGCAGCCATCACCTACTGACAGAAGTAAAGAAATGACCTAATCAGTCAAAACATCAGCATATGCCTCCTGAACACGTTTGGTGTGAGTAAAAATGGCTTTAGGAAAAGATAAAAGGACTTGTTCCACTTGCACGTGCCGCACCAAGTCATTAAAACAGAAATCACACGGTGGTCTTTCACGCTCAAGAATCCGTTTTCCAAACATCTCCTCAGATTTTACAAACACAAGTGTGGCTGGTTCCTCCACTTCCACCGTTACTGGCTCCTCTCATGCTTTCCTAGTTTTTTCGGCTCCTTACTGGGCATGCACCAGTCGTCGGCCTCGATGCTGGTCTGGTAATGGCGCAGGGCCGACTTGTTGAAAACAGGAAGTCTCTCCACCGACTCTGAGGACAAGGCCTAGACAGAACGGGGCAAGACGACTTAGTTACAGACTCATAACAACTACCTCCAGCGCTGACGTCAAACTGACCTTCAGATAGATGACGGCCGCTGTGCCGTAGCCCTCCATAGAGTAGAGCTGCAGGTCACCCTGGAAGTACTTAGCGTACAGGCGGGAAATGGGCAGACCATAACCAAAACCAGCCTGTGAACGAGGAGGAGGAGCTCCACTGGTGAACTCAGGAGGGCTTCAGGACTAAACAGACTCTGTGATAAACTGATTTCTGCTGAGTAAGCATCTGTTTGGGTTTCTACACTCACAGTAGAGCCCAGGTCAAAGGTCAAAGGTTTCGGCTCAGACGATCTGAGACAACTGCAGAGTTTCGGTTTAATCTCACCAGAGGAGCATTCCTGGAGTTATCTACGTGGACGGGACTGGGAGCGGTGGAGTACATGTAGCTAAAGAGACGTTCGATCTTCCTCAGAGGGACTCCTCCTCCTTGGTCAGACATCTTAGAAACAACATTTATCATTACCATATTATGTGTGATAGGTCATCTCGGGGGTTCTACTGGCTGGTTACCTTAATGGTGAGGTCCTCGTTGCCCAGTGAGATGCGCACTTTGATGGGCGGTAACGTGGGGCAGGTCTCATGGGTCTCCACCGTGGCTCTCATGGCATTCTGACACAGAACAGGGACACAGCGTCAGTGGCTGAGAGTCAGGAAGGGTCAGGGATGCTTGGTTCGCGTACCTTGAAGAGCTCAAACAGCATGTGGTAGAGGTGGGAGGGAACGTACACGATGTGTATGGGCTGGCTGGGGCTCTTAGCTGTCAAACACCACACATCTGGTTAACGAGGTTCACAGCTGGATTATCTGGGTTTTGGCTAAACATGGCAGATATCATTTTCTGAAATTCATAGTCACGTGTATCTAAAAGATACTCTCGAACCGATAAAAGTTACAGAATATCTAAAATAGTTACGTTACAGGTGGGAGGCAGATCTTTTAGATATCAGGCTCCTCTCTTGTGGAACCAGCTCCCAGCTTTAGTCCGTGAGGCAGACATCTTGTCTATTTTTAAGACTAGGCTTTAAACATTTTTATTTCGAGTCGTGGAGGATGGCTGCTTATACTGAGCCAGGATCCTCTGGAGGTTTCTTCCTGTTAAAAGGGAGTTTTCCTCTCCACTGTCGCTGCATGCTTGCTTAGTATGAGGATTGCTGTAAAGACTCTGACACTAGTCAGTGACTCGATGCAACCTGCTGGGTTCCTTATAAAGGAAACTTTTTACTGATTAGCTTAATGAACTGACCTGTATTGGAATGTTTACTGTGTGAAGTGCCTTGACACGACTCTTGTCGTGATTTGGTGCTTTATAAATACACTTGAATTGAATTGACTAAACCAGCACAGAGCTGACTCAGCAACAACAAGCGAAAAATCCTCTTCCACGGAACTTTAAAGCAGAAATATGGTTAAAAGAAAGTGGAAGAATGAAGAAATCAAGTCTTAGACTTACAGTTGACTTCTTTGATCTCCATTTCAGGAGAGGTGAGGTAATACTGCTCACACAACATCTTTGATGTCTCGTAGGCATCTGCAAAGAAAGGAGAGAAAAAGTAAGGGTTGGAAATGATGACGAGTGCTGAATGTTAAACACTGGATCTGGTTCACTTAAGAGGAACATGATCATCCATGCTGCTGAGAACAGCTTTCTTCTGTTCTGCACACAGGTTCACCTCACATTCATCAAAAAGGAAATGATTGATCCCAAAGATTCTGGAATGTGTGTCTCTACAGCACGAAAAACAGTCGGACATGGTGGTGGTGGTGTGATGGTCTGGGGCAGCTCTGCTGCTTCAGGACCTGGATCCCTCAATGTAACTGATGGAACCATGAATTCTGCTCTACAGCAGTTGGGCCGGGTTCGTTTAGACAGTTTACTCAGTTTTTTTTTTTTGCTGATCTGAAACTTTTACACAATAAAATAGATAAAACAGAAAATCCACGAGGACATAAAATCTCACAATTACAATGAAGTTCTAAATAAACTGTGTGTGTGTGTGTGTGTGTTGTTGTGTGTGTGTGTGTGTGTGTGTGTGTGTGTGTGTGTGTGTGTGTGTGTGTGTGTGTGTGTGTGTGTGTGTGTGTGTGTGTGTGTGTGTGTGTGTGTGTGTGTGTGCAGATCCCTACTTACCTTTTACTACCTCCACAACATCACAGCTGGGGTCAATGCTGCCAATGTGTTTGGGATGGGCTGGGTTCACGCTGCCATCAAAGATTAATGCTGCAGAAACACAACGGCCTTTGTGAGTGACTCTAAAGAGGCCGACATGGAGGACAGAGCCCGTGTGAACTCTCCAGTGCTCACTGGACTCTGAATGTTACTGGCTGACACGCGTGGCTCTAACATGACGACAGAATATAAGAGAAACTTCCCCTGTGAGTGTTAGTGTCAGCGCTGATGACCTCGCAGCGGGTCACAGAGTACTATACTGACTGTGCTGGTTCATGAGCATGCGTGTGGAGATGCGGCTCATGTAGAAGCGGTCCAGGAAGTACTGAACGTTCTGGTTGGTGACAGGGTCCACGCCGAAGGCCTCCTTGTACTCCAGCACGCCCTGAGCCATGGTCGGTACCACGTTGTTGTGCCGGTTCCGGATGTTTACCAGAGTCTTTGAGAAGCTGTGGACAACAGTGTGATGGAAATATGAGGACGGGTCTCCAACAGCACCAGATCAGCCATGCTACACTGTCAGATTCATGTTAGTCACAAGTAGGGATGGGTACCTTTGACATTTGAATTGATCTGGTACTAATTCCCGGTACCTAGGAATCGATACCGGTACTTAACGGTACCAATTTTCGATACTTTTGAGTGTTTATTATTTTAATTCTCTTTTATAATTAAATATATATTTTTCTCAATATATAACAATATTTGATAAATATCACGATAAATAACATTCAACTGTTTGTATTTTAACATCGTCCTTGTAGTTTTATAAGCTGATAATTAAACTGAAGCAAACATCTTTACTGTGAACTAAATTGACTGTGTATCTTCATTCCTTTTGCCGTCTTTTTTCATTTGATATTTCCTACTGGGAAGTTAGAATTTTCGAGGAGAAAGCGAATGCACCATTAGATGATAACAATGGTAGCAATGGAAGCTAACATACCAAGCTAACGTTATCTTAAACAGTTTATTTAGCTGCTGGAGCAGATTAAAACGATGATGCCTCACACTTAGATCGTTGTCGCTGGTTTCATCTTCACCCAATCACCCGTCACATTTAGTAAAGTGAAGCCAAACTTTAGAGCGCGTTCATGTTCTTCTAGTCGGGAATTTGGAGTTCCGAGGAGAAAGCGAACGCACCATTAGCGAAACGGAAGCTAACATATCAAGCTAATTATATTTACCTACCAGAGCAGATTAAGATGAGGATGTCTCACTTAGATCGTTGTCGCTGGTTTCATCATGACCCAGTTACCCATCACATTTAGTGAAGTGGACCCAAGCTTTAGCGTGCGTTCTTTCTACCATGCTGCTCTGTTTACAACTCGCTCGCAGGGACCGACGACATAACGCTCTTGCGCATGCGCAGCTGTCTTGGCAAATTCTCGCTATGAAGGACGGGTACCGCAACGAGGCACCGTTTGAAATGACGTGAATCAGTGCTCGGTCGGTATTATGGAATTCAGTCGGTACCTTAAAGAGCAAGTCACTCCAAATTAACATTTTTTGCTGATAAACTATATAAATGAGTGTCTGATCGTGCTGTAGACACGTGTAGTCAATAATTCGGCATTTTAGTTCATCTTGGTTCAAATTTAAATATTCGGCCTAAAACTGTCGGCGATGCACCGTCGTCAGGTAAAAACTCAGCACTGTATTTGAATTTAAATCTGCCATCGCTATTGGCTAAGAGGTACACTATGATGTTAGATGGTACATTATGATGTCACAATGTCGTGAGTGTGAGTATTTGTTAGTGGCTCCGCCCTCTCGGTATGCTAGGCAACAGCATTTTTTGCATTTTTCAAACAGGAAGTGGGAGTTGAGTACGAATCTGGTCGGGGTGACTTGCTCTTTAAAAAGTACCAAATTCGGTACCCATCCCTAACAAGTGTCTTTTATAGGTTCTAACACCAGTTATGTGATGGAGCCGTTTCTCCACAGACAGAATTACTTATTGGGTAACAATATTTTCTGCATAAGGAACAAGCGTGGATGACCTTCAGGGTCACGATTCCCCCGCTCTACCACTAGATGCTGTTCCTACGCTTGATCTGAGCTGTTCTTCTATTTAGGAACATTTTTATGTTCAAGTGCAGGATGGTAAACACCACACCATGCATAAAGTCCTTCCTACACACGAAAAACACACAGATGCATTTGTAAGTACAGTTAATAGATGAGGGCCCAGGATTGTTCCAGATTATTCTGCTCGGGTGGCTGGACTAATCGGCTAACCCGGATTTAAAACGGTAAATATTTAAACACAAGCTGAATAATTAAATGGTTTATAATTGCCACAGGCCATTTAGCCTGCAGGAGTGTGGCTCGTCTTTTACCCTAAACCTGTCAGCAGCACAAGGTGAGTAAAAACCAATAACTTGACCCAAACTGTTTCCGCTGATGAGAAACAGCTCAAGATAAATACATGATTACTAAAGTACATCAGTCCTTATGTTGTCACTAAATGAGTCAAATGATGTAGATAAAAGTAGAGGAGTGTTTGGGAATGACTCACTTCTTCAGGATGTCTTTATCATCCGGATCTTTTTCTAAAAAGTCTATCAGCTCCATCAGACTCTGGGAGTACCTGAAAGAGACAACAGAAAATCGTTAAATGTCTGGAACTGTTATACCCACAAACCCTTCCATCCCTCTTAAACAAAAACAGTCCGACGACACCGACTCCTCTTCCAGGTCAAAGGGTCGAGGAGACCCGGGCGCTGAGCTCACTTTGTCTCCCAGCAGGAGAACTGGGTGAAAGGTGACTGGCAGAGTGACGACGCTGTGTGTGTGTCCAGTGTTTCCCTTCAGTCACCTTCAGCCCTCAAATATGGAACAAGTCGACCCACAAGAACAGGTCACGTGAATCTCACCACACACACACTTGGAACGCGGCAGCAGGAAGTGTGTTTGTTGCGTTGTGTCCTCTGCAGACGCTCGATGTGAGGAAACTACTTTTGACCCCAGTGTTTTCTTAACATCTGCAGGAGAATTGTGTTATGTCATGATGCTACAGCTGGAGAGGAACCAATCAGAGCAAAGCTACAGAAAACAACCCTCCTGTTTGTGGCTGTAGCGCCTTTTCTGTTATGTATACAGTCAGATCTAGAAGACAGAAACTAAACAGCTGTGCTGATTGAACGGCAGATGCCAACAGCTGGTTTATTGGCCACAAGAACATTTCAGCCGTTCTGCCATTTACTCATGTTCACAAGTCCATCTTAAGGACACTGTAATTAGAGAAGAAGTTCCCTTTTTCTGTCCAACTGGCTGCTGATCATGTGGACATATTCCAAAGCAGTTGGGGAAAGTTTTCCAGGTGAATTAGTATGTTTGTTTGAGGACATTCCAGCTCATGGATATTGTCACACTCAGATGACTTATTGGTCAAAACATCCAGATCTGGCATGTTTACGATCTCTAATGTTACGCTGAAGAACGCCTCAGAGAAAACAGCTCAAAACTAAACCTAAAACCATCTTAAATCTTTTATCTAGCTAATAAATCTTCAGGGATCAGAGGGAAGCTGAAGCTTCTGTGTGGGGCAGTTTAACGTGTTGAGAGGACTTCAGCACACACTGTTGTCTGAAAGCTCTATTCTGTTAAGTGCACCTTGTGATCCCAGTTTAAAGCGTAACCAGTTAAGAGGACAACCACCAGTGTCCACCAGTGTCCCAGTACCCTGAGGACACCACTGACAGAGGCAGGCATGACCCTGCTATCCTACCAGCTGGTCAGGATCTTGACCGACGGGGTGCCCAGGAGCTTGTCAGGGAGGTAATCGATCTCCTTCATGATGTTGGCTAGTCTGACTGGGAGCTCTTGTCGCAGGAACACAAAAGATGTCTTCTCACAAGCGTTGGCAGAGCCTGCAGTCACATGAGGGACAGTAACACCAAAACCATGAGCAGGTTGTCGGACAAAGCTGGACGCTGGTGTGAATACGTGACCTGCAGCAGACAACAATCGTGTAACAGCCGCTGGTGTGTTCAGCTGCAGCGCAAACCACTCACCAAAGTCAATGAACTGCTTCATAGACAAGGGAGAGGGGGAGAACTTGGAGAACCTCTCCACTTGTTTCGGTATCCCAGCCAGAGAGCCGTTTTTCAGCAAAAACTGGGTGAACCTCATTTTTCCTGCCCTCCGTTAGACACCCCAAACGCCTCGTCTCGGTTAGGGGGGCCAGGCTGTCCTTTCTTCCTCCGACACAGTCCCGTTTAACCCCTTTAATTACGTCACACAAATGTCCTCCATATCACCCCTGAGAGACTGACTGCGAGTTCCCAGGCAGAACGTTCCTAGAAAGGGTTCCTTCCTTCCATGTTTGTTACCTCAGACTCAACTTCTTCCACACCGAGCAGGGAACGTTGCCTTCAGGAGCGACACTAACGTTGGAATCGGCCAACCAGCGTGCAATGGTCCTAAACGGTGGGCGGGGCTTCCACCACACACACAAGAGTCCTGTAAAACAGCATCACCTACCGACACGATGCTCCAAACACCAGCAGGCAGGGCCGGAGTGGGACACATTTTCAGCCCTGGAGTTTCAGACCCCAGACCGGCCCACTTAACGAATTATTATTAAAATCATGTTAGAACTTTATATGTATAGTCTACAAAAGCACACTACTCGGTAAAGCCTTGTAATTCAGTGCAAGAAAGAGTTGCTTTACAATGTAGGTTTATTTGAACATCAGTGCACATCTCCAACATTGTTCTTTACAACACATTCTCTAACAATATAACAATCTACATTCTGTTCAAACAGCTGTTCTGAGATTTTCAAATCTTTAAAATGAAATGACTCAGCACTCCCTTTCACACTTTTTCCAGTTTCCCTAGACTCACCTGCACACAATTAAAATAATCATCTGTAAAGCTTTAACACATTTGATATGGAAAACACATTTTTTGTAACCAATTAAAATATTTTCTATGGCAAAATATGCAGGCTTATTTCAATTTACTTTCATTCTAATAGCGATCTGTTGTGGGCTTTGTGCATTTACTAATAAAAATACATCAGGTCACTACTATTATTTGGACATTAAAATTATTATAATGAAACTGATGTTTGCACATGAGTTGGCTCACCTTCTATCCCAACAGGAGCAATACCCTCACTGCTGGCTCCTGGCTCTTCTTCTGACACTACATTGTGTGAAAATGGTCACAATTCAGCATTCATTTTCCTTTTTTACACGCATTCTGATCAATGCTGAATCATCTAGCATTTTAGAACACTTTCATATAGAGCCAGGATACTTTTCATCATATAAATTTTAATAATATTCAGTTCACTGACTTAATAAGTAATCCTACCTGTACATGCCCGCTCTGGAATGGTGGGTTTCTGCCTGGTGCTTATTAGGCCTACTGGATCTTGTGTTTGACTCTGAGGGGCTACAAGACAGTTTGGTGGCATCAGTCACACCATACTGTTAATTATATTACATAACGTTATGTCATGACGCCATATAATTCATTATTGATGCTTAATTAACTTGAATGGTGATTTGCAGCCGGTAAAGTTTAACATCTTGACTTGCCTTACCCGTTTTATCTTCATTTGAAGTTAAAGACCGCAAGCTTGTTTGAGAAAAAAAGGTGCTCATTTTTGCACATTTAGCTGCATCTGTTTCCAGCGCTTTCCTCTTTTTAATTCTTGCCTTCTCCGCGCCACCCTTGCTCTTTCTACTTTCCATCTTTCCGTCAACTGCGTGGTCACGTGGTGCGCACAGGCGCATACGGAAAAAAAAAAAAAAAAAAAAAAAGAGCTGCAGCCTGCAGGTAGAGACAGCCGGGAGGAGCGTATGTGATCAGCCCGGCGGCCTCAGTGCCATGACTGAACACCGGCACCAAAAAATAAAAATAAAATGATAAAAAACAAAAACGAGAGCACCGGCCCAAACATCGCGCGGCCCACCGGGAATTCTCCAGACCCTCCCGATTAGCCACTCCGGGCCTGCCAGCAGGGCTTGTACTGGTGACCAGAGGCGGATTAAACTAGATCAGTACCCAAGGAGGACCGATCCTTCCATAATTCACAATAAATAAATAAACTATGAAAATTAATACACGAGGAGTATATTTGAAAGAAAATAAAAAATTATGTATATATATATATATATAACTATATATATATATATCTATATCTATATATATATATCTATGTATATATATATATATATATATATATATATATATATATATATATATATATATATATATATATATATATATATATATATATACGTGTGTGTGTGTGTGTGTGTGTAGAGAGAGAGAGAGACAGAGAGAGACAGAGAGAGGAGATGGTTCCCCTTCGCAGAACAGCGCCCCCAAAACATGATGTTTCCACCCCCATGTTTCACAGTAGAGAAGGTGTTCTTTGAATGCAACTTCTCCTTCTTTTTCCTCCAAACACGGCGAGTGAAGTTTAGACCAAAAAGCTCTTCTTTGTTCTCATCTGACCACATGGCTTTCTCCCATGCCTCCTCTGGATCATCCAGATGGTCACTGGAAAACTGCAGATGGGCCTGGACATGTGATGACTGGAGCAGGGGAACCTTTCATGCAATGCGTGATTTGAAACCATGACGGCTAAGTGTTCTACCAACAGTGACCTTTAAAACTGTGGTCCCAGCTCTCTTCAAGTCATTGACCAGCTCCTCCCGTGTAGTTCTGGGCTGATTCCTCACCTTTCTTATCATCAATGATACTCCACAAGATGAGATCTTGCATGGAGCTCCAGTCCGAGGGAGACTGACAGTTGTCTTTAGCCTCTTTATGGCGTCAGATTTCCGCCAAAACCCGTGCACGCGTATTGTCTACATCGCGTGTGCGAACGTGACTCGCGTGTGGAAGTTAGAACCTCACGAGTGAAAATATACATGGCGAGGAGGTCATTTGTACACTGAGAGGGAGCAAACTGTGTCTGTGAGCGCACAAGGATGTGCACAAGTGAATAATAATAATAACAAATATGCATATCTGTCTCGTCAACACAAGTTTAGACTAAATCCAAAGGAAATTCAAATTTCCCAGCTTCCACCCAGCATTCAAACGCACCATGTATGCACAAATCAGTCAGGTGAGAAGAGTCTCAAAAGGATTTTTGTACTTGTAAACTGATCTGTGTGTAATGTCATTTTGTGTGTGTGTACCAGGTGATTTGTGTGTGTGTATTCCATGATTTGTATGTGTAAGAGCTGATGTCACACATGAAAATGTAAACACAAGTTACAAATCAAGAGTTACACACACACAAATCTTTAGCTACACACACACACACACACACACACACACACACACACACACACACACACACACACACACATGCTGGTGTGCACACAAATTGAACCACAAAAATTAGTATTCTGTTATGAAAGAATAAATAAATAAATAAATAAATAAATAAACAAAAAAGTCAGACAAATAAATTCAATTAAATAAACAACTTCATACATTTAAATACATTTTTAAAATACAATAATTTAAGTTAAATTAGGAAAAAAAACTGAAGACCTTTTTAAAAGGGACTTACAACCTGGCACAAGATAGTCTTCTTGCATGTGTAAATAATGCATCTTTGCTATCTAATTAGCCTAATTATTATGTGCGTATTTAATTACATTCTTGCGACTTGTATGCTAATTCTAAAATTCCATTCCTGGTAGTTATGACAACTTTGTTACATCATCACTCAAACATCAGCCTGTTCTACTCAGACCATTCAGTCGAGCCAGAGACACAGTGAGAGGTTTGGACGTCCATCGTAGACGCTACAAGCTTGTTTCTCTAGGATGAGTGTGATTTGATTTCAAACAAAACTGAAACGTTGTGGTTCAATATTTGTCTGCATAACGTGAAAGTGGATTAGTGATTAACTTTGACTCTGAACGTGAAAGCGAAAATATTTCCAAACAGATCTTGAAAACGAAGAAAAGGGTGTCTTTTCAATTCAATTCAATTCAAAAATACTTTATTAATCCCAGAGGGAAATTGATTGCTGTAGTAGCTCAGAATAATAATAATAATCAAGTCATCAAAGAGTTATTGTATATTACAATGGCTGTTGGCAAGAAGGATCTCCAGTAGCGGTCAGTGTTGCAGCAAAACTGAAGAAGCCTCTGACTGAAGACACTCTTCCGTTGTCGGACAGTCTTGTGAAGAGGATGCTCAGGGTTGTCCATCATTTTCTTGATTCTCTGGAGAATCCTTCTTTGCATCATCTCCTCCAGTGGTTCCACAGTCGTCTCCAGAACAGAGCCAGCCTTTTTTATTAGGCTGTTGAGCCTTTTCAGGTCCCTGCTTCTGATGCTGCTACCCCAACAGACGATGACTGAAGAGATTACACTCTCAACAACAGACTTGTAGAAGATCTGCAGCATCTTGCTACAGACACTGAAGGACCTAAGCGTCCTCAAGAAGTGCAGTCTGCTGTGTCCCTTCTTGTAAACAGCTTGGCTGTTCTTTATCCAGTCCAGTCTGTTGTCCAGGTGAACTCCAAGGTATTTTTGTAGATGAAACTCAGACAAAATCCTCCTTTTATGGTGAGGCGTCTGAATCTGAGACTTTCCAAAAAGAATCTGGTTTATCTGTTGAGATGGAGGTCCCTGCATCTGTACAAGCTCAGCAGGAATCGCCTCACTTCAAACTATCAGACAGACTTTTACAGCAGGTGGATAATCTAGAAAAACTAGAAGATCAGATCACGGAAGAGCAACTGACAAGTCTCTGTCTGCAAACAGCACTCGCCCAAGGCAGAAACACGGTCAGCTTCCATCGTGATCTAATGGCCAGGATGAAAAATATGGAGAACAACACCAACCTCCATGAAGTTATGGAGACACTTCACCTGGATAAATGTAGAGTTAAAAAGCAACACAAGAAAGAGTTGGAAATGCTAAAAGATCAGCTTCAGGAGCAATTCCATCTTAGCGCAGCACAGGTCAAAGTTTCTAAGTGGAGGCGTTTCAGGAAGTTTGTCACACCTGCATGTTTACGCCAACACGAGGCATGGTGTGACAAGTAACCCCCCAGCCCTAAAGACCCTTACATGAAAAGACCGAACCTCGGAGGTCCGATGGGGGGCACCGGGCCACCACAATGTCTGGAGACAGGCACCTCGGTGGTCCAGAGCGTGGACAACTAATCTGAAGTTAAATCAGTCACCGTGTCCCCAAAACCTTATCTGAGAAATATACAAAACATTTCACTCCCCAATCCCACAAACAAGACAAAAACAGGGCATTGTGGGTAGCACTGTTGCCTAGCAGAAAGGTTGCTGGTTAAATTCTCACAAGCTTCCTTTCTGCGTGGAGTTAGTGTGTTCTCCCCATGTAGGCGTGGGTTTCCTCCGGGTGCTCGGGTTCCCCCCACAGACCAAAAACACGTGTTTA